AAAAAAAGAAATATAAAAAAGAAGAGATTTTAATAGATGTGTGTAGCGTTTTCTAGTTAAGAACAATTATCGAAGCCAAATTTAATATTTTTCTATGTAAAATAACATTTTACTTTTACATAAATTTTCAAAAGTGAGGTCAGTTATAAAAAGACACTTTCATGATATTTTATCAAAATTTTCTTGCAAAGGGAAAAATATTTAAAATATTACATCTATATGCTTTTAAAAATATTTTTAATATTTTAATTTTTTAAAAATTATTTTTTAGTTGTTGTGGACCTTTATTTTGTTTATTTGTATGTGGTGCTGAGAATCGAACCTAGTGCTTCATGCATGCTAGGCAAGCGTGCTACCACTGAGCCACAACCCTAGTCCCATCTATATGCCTCTTTATGTGGGAAGAGTGATGGGAAAACATAGTAAAAAGTTAAATTACAAATAGAGGATAATGTACACTACTAGAAAAAAAAAGCCAGAAAAAATTTTTTTAAATTTCTAAAATTAAAATAACCTTCAACTATTGATTTAAATTCTAACAATCCACAGAAGAGAATGTAAACTATTTCTGCTACAAAAAACCTACTGGTAGCCAGTGTGGTGGTGCAACCTGTAATTCTAGCAGCTTGGGGGGCAAAGGCAAGAGGATTTCGAGTTCAAAACCAGCTCAGCAAAAGTGAGGCACTTAGCAACTCAGTGAGACCCTGTCTCTAAATAAAATACAAAATAGGGCAGAGGTTATGGCTCAGTGGTAGAGTGCTCCTAAGTTCAATCCCTGGTACTAAAAAAGAAAAAAAAAAAAGCCAACTCATCACCTATTTTTCTGTAAGATAGTGTAATTAACACACATTTTTTGTCTTTTAAGAATTTTTGCCGCCAAAGTTCAAGAAGATTTAAGTCAGGGCATGGTGGCACACGCCAGTAATCCCAGCCACCTGGAAGGCTACAGTGGTAAACTGCCCCATCAAGAAAAAAGGAGGGTCAGGGAGGTCACCCCCAGCAAAAGAAGAATGTGTGGGTTCTCTTTCTTATTTTAATAAGAGGTTACTATTTCACCATGAAACTGACTTTGAAAAGTACAAGTGCAAAACTTAACACTGCATTATCCTCTCTTATATCCTCTACAATTTTGTAATTAAATTATACTTCAAGTAATCATACTTCTCGATTTTACTCTACAAGTATATCAGACACCAACTTAAATTCCTCTATTTCCAAGATGATTTGAATTCATTTTTAAGGCCAATTTAGTCAAAACATTAATAAAAATATTTCATCAGATTACTTCCTAGTACATTCTAATATTTCAATATTTGAGACAGCCTAGCAAATGTAACTGCATTACCTCTTTATCTTTTAGTCCCAGGAGCAATACTTCTTCCATAAGGGTGAGGCGAATATCCTTAGAGTCTCCAGAATCTTCGTTTTCTGGACTCCTCTCTTGATTAGTATCTTCCTCACTTTCTACCTTCTTTTCAGAGTTCTTGCTTATTTCAGTGCGACGGGTTCGGTGAGTTAATGTGGTCATTCTCACTTGTTTCTGGAGGGAATAATGAAAAACATCCATATATGTGCTTATGCAAATAAATACAGATATTCATACATACATACTAAAAATGTATATGAATAGGAAATATTTATAAACTTATAGAAGAAAGTAATGACTAGAAAAATTGGGTGTGAGACACAATATCTTTTCCAACTTTTTTACCAGATGGCAATGACAAGAAATCAAATCAATAATTCTAAAGTCCTATAGAAATGATCACTGTTTAAATGTGCTTATTTTTTATGCATAAAAACTATAACTAAGGAGGAAATGTCCAGTGATACTCTTCTTCCACAAGATGGATCCCCATGTTAAATAAGACAAAATAGCAAAAAAATATGAGCATTCAGCATCAAAATGAACACAATAATTTATCTAATTTCTGAAAACATTCAATGGTACTATATCATAAAACGCAAATAAACCAAAAATAAAAAACGAGAAAAAATAGAAATATGTGTTTTAATATTTTCTTCCTATACCCTAATGACTTATTTCATGCAGAGACCACTAGGCTAGAGAATAACATTCAGAAAATCATGTGCAATAATTTCACATAGCCCTAGTTAGCCATCTTGGGAGTACACAAATAGCTGCTACCAAAAAACACTAGCAAAAATGTTTAAAACATTAGCGAATTCTTTCTCATTTACAAAAAAAGGGGTGTTGGGATATAGCTCAGTGTTAGAGAATGTACTAAGTTAGCGAGTTCAAGACTCTAGACTCAATCCCCAGCATTGGGGAAAAAAAATCAAAGCACATGTCTTTTTTTTAATACCATGCACTACAGTTGTTTAAAAATTTTAAATCATCTGTGGTAAAGTTTACAAGTTAGCCTATTTTACTTTATACAAATCTAGGTGTCAGTTTTGAAGATGATATACAATAAATATTTAAAATCAGGCACTATATTAAGGTATCTTTCAGATCAAAAGAAAAAATAGTATTTAAGAATTGTTAATGACTAGATCTGGTTCTACCTTCTAGCAATACTTCCCAATACTCTTAACATGTACTGCTGTCAAATCTTTTCTCAAATATATCTCATGCTTTTTTTCTGCCTCTGCTCCTTTGTCTTGCTGGGATTCTAATCCTTTTCCCTTCCTCTCTATATTTACCCATTCTTCAATGACCTACTGCCCCACCAGGAAGCCTTAAGTGAAATCTATCTCTATTACCCATATGCCCCATGGCCAGAATTGTTCGTTCCCTCCGCTGTACTTTCACAGAACTTTATTTATACTTACTTCCTTTAAAGTATTTAATATAGTTTCTCTTTTGGTATGGCTGTCTCTCAACTGTAAACTTCTTGAGGGCAGGAATAATGTCTTCTTGGGTTTTTATATTCTCCATAGCAACTAGCACAATGTCTTTAACGTTGTAACTGCTCAATAAATATATACTGATTAAAACGAATACTCAGAAATGCATGAGAACATTTAAAATAGAAATACAAATGAAGTGAGTTACAAAAGATTCTTTGTGCAAAAGTATATTTCAAATATAATCTTTGATGGGAGATGAGAAGAGTAAAGGAGGAACAGAACCATAAAATAAGTGCTTTAGGGCACTAACTCTTTCTGGCACTGAATTGGGATTAGTTCCTAACCCAATCCAAGAAACTTTAAACCTTCAGGGATGAAAAATAAAGGGGAATTTTCTTTGAGGAATCAATTTCCCTTGAACATTTACTAGTTAAAAATCCTACATGAAAAAACAAATGGCCAAGAATAAATAAATGAATAAATATTTAAAACCACCCTGTCCCCATAAAATAAAATAAAAAAATTACTGACGTTAGGAAATATAATTTTCCCGTTGCTTACCTGATGTTACCCCTGGGTTACAGTTGGACTCTGGCTGCAGCTTGTGCTCTATTTCAGGAGGACACCTGTTTTCCCCACCCCACCCCCGTCCTAGTAGGTGAAAAACTTCTCAGCCACGCAGAGAGCACAAACTTCCTGATCCTTCGATGCAGAAAAGGAATAACACATCAGCTTCCTCAGGATCACTAGGCAACCTACCTTGGTGTTTCTTCATTGGACCAATCAGAAACCCCCAAGGTTGATTCCAGCCAATCGGAGCTTATGAGGGGAGGCTCTCCCCGGCTATTGTTGCAATCCAGACAAACATCACCAAAAGGAGGCAGGTTTGGGTTCAACCTGACAGCTGGTCAATCCAATGAAGGAACCTTGGTAGAAGAGAGGAAAGAGAGCTGCGCTCCCCACATCCACTAAAGTGGCCAATCAAAGCGTCCAGTAAGCTAACTAGAGCTGCCAATCGTAAAAGGTTTCTGTTGGGCATTTTCAATGTAGCAGGTGTGTTAAGAGTAGTAACGTATACTGGGACAATTGGATGAAAAGCATTGGTATCCAAGCAATAAAGCTAAGACCGAGTAAAACATTTTAAAATTGGGTTGTTTTCTGATAGCTTAACCCTAACCTGACTGTTCCCAGAAAAACCTGATCTGAATTGGTTTGTAGACGTTTATTTGGTTTACATTTAACAGGTTGGGCACATTCCTAGCATGGCTTATATACCAAAATTCCCTATTCAGCGCTTGTTACTGACAAGCCCATAGCCAATGAATGTTTTTGGAATACGGCCGCTGAAATTACAAGAGGCTAACAGACTTAACTCTTCCTTTTCTAAGGGAAAGGAAATCGCAAGACTGGAACTAGGTCTCAGGTTTCTCATTAAAAGCAGTCTTTCACACTACCACTCAAAAGTTCTATGAAGTGTGCTCAACTGTTGCAAAATAATATCTACCGAAATGATCTCAAAATTAATACATAAACACTTTCTAATTAAATAAAAATTGGAGCCATGAAAGAGCCTACATACTGAACAACATTTTATTTATGCTGGTAAAAATATCAGTCTTTAAAAACCAGTCATCTTTTTTGTCCTATAGTAAAAAAATGTAAAAAAAAAAAAATAGGTAAAGTACCGAATTTAAATTGTACATTATCTATTACCATGTTAATACATTATTTCAAAGTATTGAAAAACATTGTTTAAATAACAACACAATGACAAACATCCAGTTAAATGGTAGTTTTAACATAGGTAAAAAGTGAATCCCTATAAAATTTTAATATGAAAATAAACATTATTTGCTTCAAAAATGGCTTTAGAGGGCTTAACAGTTAATATATATTTTTGTTCACTAAAATGGAAGGTAGATCAATATGTAGATAATAAACAGAATAATTATGGTATTTGTACTTTGGGTTTTATTCAAAAGTCCTCTTGAATTTATCTCAGGTTTACTAAGATTAAAGACAACAATATAATAGTTAGCTAGAAACTTCATTTCAGTGAATGAACTTCTTAAAACTACATATAAATGTTCAGAGGTAGGAAAAATACACCTTAAAATACTCATATAGCGTCTTTTAATTTAAATGTTGAGAAGAACTTTGCAAATGTGTAGTAGAAAAAGTAATTTTTACATATGTTCCTTTGGTTCACTAAATTTCCTCCTTTTTGGCACTGACTCTTGACTAGAAGAATCAAAGTGATGGAGAACCTGTCAAAAGAAGAAAACTACTTAGAATACTTTCCAGTGTTAATGTCTTTATCTTTTGTCATGTCTCTAAGGTTTCTTTAAAAAAAAATACCTAGCATACCAACCATAACTATTTTCAACTATGGTAAAGATATCTAGGGTATTTAAAAGTAAGGTAAAATTTATTACTGAACATATGTACATCTTTTTTTCTGGGGTGTATGTGGCCAATAGGGATTGAACCCAGAAGTGCTTTACCACTGAGCTACATCTCCAGACTTTTTTCATTTTTTAAGACCAGGTCTCACTAAGTTACTTAGGGCCTTGGTGAGGCTGTCCTCAAATCTGGGATCCTACTGTCTTAGCCTCTCAGGTTGCTGGGATTACAGGCAATTGTCACTGTGCCCAGCTTATAAGTACATATCTGATGGCTGCTGAAAAGTAAATACTTTCAAAGTATAAGATCTTCATTAAGGTTGTCATAGAGGTTAGAAGATAGATATACATGGTATCTTCAAAACAGTCAAACTTTTTGGGGTGATGAGAACGGAAAATATTTTCATTTACAAATACAAAAACCTTCTACCTTGGTACTTCTGTAAGATTTAAATCATGTCTTGATTTTGTACTTCTGGTACTTAGCAGTGCCTGCTAGATATTAGACACACACACACACACACACATTTTGTGCGTGTGGTATTTAAAATTGAACCCAGGACCTCGTGAATGCCAAGCAAACACTCTACCATTGAGCTACATACATACCTGGCCCTAGTGTACCCTTTTAAGTGAATGGAAAGATGAATTAGGAAATTACTAATAAGAGCCCCTGAGTTATTGAAGTTTGATTTTGATGGGAAAAGTTGGACTGACTATGCATAACAAATTTAATTTTGATTTTGCCAAAAAAATGAGGCTTAATACATTTGGAAAAATTGAAGAACCAAATGTATTGAGGTTATTCCATTTCATTCTTAAGTTATGTAAATTGAAAATAGCATTAATCAAGTATATTTGATATTACCTTTTTTATGTGTGGTACTGAGGATTGAACCAGGGGTACTTTTTACAACTGAGTCACATCCCCAGTCCTTTCTATTTTTTTTTTTTTATTTTTTAAAACATTTTTTTAAATTGTTGATGGACTTTTACTTTATTATTTGTATGTGGTGCTGAGAATCGAACCCAGTGCCTCACACATGCTAGAGCCACAACGCCAGCCCTCTACTTTTTATTTTGAGATATGTTTTCACTAAGTAGCTGAGGGTGTTACTAGGTTACTAAGATTGGTCTCTAACTTGTGATCTTCCTGCCTCAGCCTCCTGAGTTGCTGGGATTACAGGCATGTGCCACTGTACCCAACCTTTAATATTACCCTAATTTTAACATTTGATTTTTAAAAAATAGTCTTTTAAGTTTTTAGTTGTCTAATTCTAACCTACTAATGGTATGAAAATTTTTAGTTGAAAAAATATGAGCAAGTATTCCAAAAAAGACAAATACATTATCTGATTTGGTATAATAAAGTTCTGATTATGCAGCAACTATATACAATTTAGGTCAAGAAAAGTTTTCATTCTCCTGAGATACTAGAAAATGCTATATTTTTTGGTAACTTTCTAAAGTTTCTAGTTTAGTTTTGATATGTAGAAAGCTCAGACGAATTTGTGATCCAATTTCAGTTCCATATAAACAACATGACTTGGATATTATATCATTTTTTTCATTCTATTCAAATTTTCCTGACACCAATTTTTATTTATTTTATAAATTTCTCTAATAACTTTAAATCATTCATGGAATGAGTCAATAGCTATTTACGTGGAAAATATCAATACACTGAAATACTGCATCTTATTTGATTATGTGTGTGTGTGGGGGGGTGGAGGTGTGTGTATGTATATGTGTATGTATGTGTGGGTGTGGATGTGGGTGTGTATATACATATATATACATTTTTTTAAACCCAGATGCACTTTACCACTGAGCTATATCCCCATCCCTTTTAATTTTGAGACAGGTCTCTTTACCTTACTTAGGGCCTCACTAAGTTGTTAAGGCTGGCTTTGAACTTGTGATCCTCTGCCTCCAAATCACTGAGATTACAGGTGTGTGCCACCATGACTGGCTTGTATCTTATTTTAAAATCACCTCATTTTTAGAACAAAATATTTTTGAACAAGATCTGAATATCAGAGCTCTGAGGTTTATTCAGGGATATGATCAAATTGTTTTAAATATTTATTTTTTAGTTGTAGTGGAACACAATATCTTTATTTATTTATTTTTATGTGGTGCCGAGGATTGAACCCAGGGCCTTGCACGTGCAAGGCGCACTCTACCACTGAGCCACAACTCTAGCCACATGATCAAATTTATTATGTTAATCTATAGTAGTGATATTCTGATACTTGGATTTTTAACATAGGTTAAATTTTATTCACAGTAGGTATGAACATTATCATAAGACTTACTGTTTTCCCAGATTCAGGTTGACTTCTCTTCCGATTTTCTTTAGAAGATTTTACTGGTGGATTTCCATTTGCCTCCACAAAGATAGAGTAATTACTAATTGGTTATTTCTCAAAGAGCAACCAATAGTTGATTTTTCTTTAAATGAATGACTACATGCATTTTTTAAAAAAAAACAGCCTTATTTAGATGTAATTCAGATATTATACAATTAACCTATTTAAAAGGATACAACTAAATGATTTTAAGTATATCCAGAGTTGTACAAAAGTATCTCAATTTTAGAATATTTTCATCATCCTCAAAAGAAGCCCTAATATCCTTTAGTTAATACTGTTATTCCTCTATCCTCCCACCAGCCCTAAGGCTTTTCTTTCTCAACAGCTTTCCCAATTGTGACTTTAACATGAATGGAACAGATGATATGTGAACTTTTGTGAATGGCTTCTTTCAATTGACATCATATTTTCAAGGTTCATCCAAGTTATTGCATTGTACAGTTAATTCCATTCCTTTTTATGGCTGACTATTTCTTTGTAGGATTTAAGAAAATTCATTTTATCCATTCATCTGCTACTGGACACTTAGATTTTTCCTATCTTTCAGCTATTGTGAATAATGCTGTACATACAGTTATTAAAATGAATACTGGAAGACGGCAAATTATTAACTGACATAATACTATTCTTTAAAAGGACATATTTCTTTCCTCATGCTTGAATAATCCTTCCCAATGATAACCTCCTTTATATATTTATTATCAAATATTTTAATTTCTTGACATTTCCTAGCCCCAATTCAGCCATGATTCTCAAAATTTCAAGTATCCTAAGACTTCATCTCCAAAAACATGTGAAATTGAAGAAATGAATTTATGTCCTTAAAGTATCTTTTTTTTTTTTTTAGCATTTTTTAGTTATAGATGGACAGAATACCTTTATTTTGTTTATTTATTTTTATTTTTAAAGGAGAGAGGCTAGTTTTTTATTTCATTCATTTATATTTTTAATATTTAATTTTTAGTTGAAGTTGGACACAATACCTTTATTCATTTATTTTTATGTGGTGCTGAGGATGGAACCTAGGGCCTCCATATGTTAGGCTTGCGCTCTACCACTGAGCCACAACCCCAGCCCTATTTGTTTATTTTTTTGTGGTGCCGGGGATCAAACCCAGTGCTTCATGCACGCAAAGCAAGTGCTCTACCACTGAGCCACAACCCCAACCCCATCCTTAAAGTTTCTTAACGTTATATTACAAGGAAATCTTGCCTACTAATTTTGTAAAATGTTTGCCTCGCTCCTTATATCCTAGTAAAGGATACTCATCCTAAATGGAAGCTGGCTAGGAAAAACATTTTGCTGCTGGAAGTAGAAATTCTTGGCATTTCTTTATTTCTTGTTTTCATCAGCATACTAGTTTGCATGTTGCCATCTGCCAATTCTAACTTCCTATTGAGAATGTGGGGAGAAAAAGACCCCTAAAAAGGGCACCATAATCAGTGGTGTTCTGGTAAAGGTTTAACCACCAACTATGTGCCAGAAACAAACCCTGAGGCATTTGTTGATTTCCAATCAGTCAATACTCTGTTCATGTCCAATATCAAGCTACCAACATGATATTACCAGATGAGGGGTTGGGAACAAATGTTCTAGCACACCATTGATAGAGTACCCTAACTTTGGATATATTATTTCATATTTTACAAATGCTTTTTCTTTACCCTTAACCTTGAGAGTAACTTAAAGGTATATACATTCACATATGCATTTCAAGATGAGCGTCTTACTAAGTTGCCTAGGCTCATCTCAAACTCACAACTGCCTCAGCCTCCTGAGTAAAAGGGTTTAAACATGTACCATAGTACCCAGTTCAAATGTAAATTCCTATTTAGTATAATTCATACACAAAACTAAAACTGATTTTGTTTTTGCTTAAGAACATGACATTCATTTAGTACAAGACATATATATATATATGTTAATCTTTTATGTATGTAAAATATTAATTTGTATGTCATTAAAAATACAATCAATTTATAAGACAGAACATGGGAATGTTCTGATAGTTTACGAAACTCCCTTGGGAGATTCTGAACAAGAGTATCACTCTCAAAGTTTTTTTTGGATTCTCCTCTCTAATGTACGTTCAGTAAAATTAACTATTCTTTCCTTTGTGCTTCCTATGTATTCTATTAAGATTTCTATGATAGTCCTATATCATTTCTTGTTTGCTTCCAATTACCAAACTTTCAGCTAAAATTAGGAACTATGTGTTAACTAGGTTATATCCTCTGCATCTAGTAAAGTACCTGCCATATAATAGGTACATATTAAATATATTCCAATAAATGAAATAGTAAAATAAACTCATATGTGGGGGGAAATTACAAGGTTAGAATGGAAAACAAACCTAAAACCTAAAAAGGCATTTACCATTTTATTCTGAAAGACTTTTCCACTTCTTGTTTTGCTTTCAGACACATCAAGTTCAGATGTTTTACTAACTAACTGCTCAACCTAGAAAATAAGTTACATAAAATTATATAACATAACAAAACACTTTCATATCATAATAAAATGGAGTCTAAAATTCAATCACATAAAATTTAGGGGCTTATTATATTAAGTTAATGAAAATCAATAATTTTGACTTGGCTTATACTGTTACAAACGGAACCAAAGTAAAGTTAGTAAGCTGACACTCTGCATAACTGACAATGTACTGAACTGAGACCGCTCAAATGATCACGAAGCACTACCCTTCCAGAAGATACGAACTTTAGCTCACTCCAATTTGAGAAAGGAGCTAGATAAAGGAAGGTAGGTAATTAATTATCAATCCATTATTTCCAGGTTCATATTATCTAAATCTGTTATTTCAGAATTTCACTGTATTTTACATGGAAAACAAAATTAAACATGTTCTGCTCCAAGGCAACAAAAAATGTATTTTACAGTCCATATATAATACAAAGGAGGGTGGAATTAATAATTGCATAAGATTCTATCTAGCTCTGAAATTCTATGAATAGTTTAAGGTTTATTTAAACAAAATCATGTAATAAACTCAAAAATTTTCAACATGTAACAGGCAGTTTTTGTTAACAATAACAAGTTCTAAATACTTATTTTCTAAAAGACCCAGAAAATAGAATATCTGAAAAATAATGAAAAATCAAATAGTCTTATAAACAACAATCTCTTTTTAATATATATATTTTTAGTTGTAGCTGGACACAATACCTTTATTTATTATTTTTATGTGGGCTGAGAATTGAATCCAGTGCCTTGCATGTGCTAGGTGAGTGCTCTATGGCTGAGCCACAACCCCAGCCCCATAAGCAACCATCTTTAAAAAACAAACAAACTAAAAGTTAGATGGAACTTAATATTAAGTTTATACCTGAGAATGAGAAATTGAAAGATCTGGACTTTCTTTACACCTCATAATTTCATCTTCCTCACAAACCAAATTTGGTTCTGTAAGGGAAAAAAAATGTTAAAATAGTATAAAATTGAATTAATAGTTAATCTACATTTTTGTTAACTTCTTACCGCCAACTTCAGAAACTCCAGTTTTTTTTTTCTGCTCTTCCATTTTAGTTTCAAAGTCAAAATCATCCTACATAATTATGTGAAGAAAAAAAATGAACACATTTCAAAAAGAAATTTAAAAAATTGTGAAGTATTTATGAACAAATTTATTTTATGTGAAGGCTACATATAAAACTACTACTTTGCTCACTAGAAATAAAAGTAATCCTAGAATTTATATCACAAGGCAAGTTACTGATCCAAAAAAAAATATATAATATATATATATATATATATAGAGAGAGAGAGAGAGAGAGAGAGAGAATTTTTTTAATATTTATTTTTTAGTTTTCGGCAGACACAACATCTTTGTATGTGGTGCTGAGGATTGAAGCCGGGCTGCACGCATGCCAGGCGAGCGCGCTACCGCTTGAGCCACATCCCCAGCCCAATATATTTTTCTTTACTTTGTACTACTATTTTTCTTTACTTTGAAAGATTGCTTTAAGGACAAATGATAAAAATATACAACTTTCACTAAAATGCATGATGATTCCAAGAACCTTTAAATTTTATTATATGTATTATTTGAAAGCACTGAATGACACATGTTGTACAATAAGCTATCACTTCTGTACATCTAGAATTTTCTTTTTTTTTGAGAGAGAGAATTTTTTAATATTTATTTTTCAGTTCTCGGTGGACACAACATCTTTGTATGTGGTGCTGAGGATCGAACCTGGGCCGCACGCATGCCAGGCGAGTGCGCTACCACTTGAGCCACATCCCCAGCCCTCTAGAATTTTCATACAATGTTAGGATATACTCTGATTATGCCTCAACTTTCCTCAGGAAGTTATTAATGAAGGATAAGCTCAGTCATGGTATGGTAGATATATCAACAGGTTTAAAGTCCAAATTATAATTATTGTTCCCTTTGTGACATATGTGAAAGAGATACAAATATTTTAAAGAATGCTACAAAAATCCCAGCCATATTTGTGTTTAAAGCAAGACTAGGATTTAGGCTTTTGGAAAAAGTTTTCTTCTTTGAATTGGTTGAAAATTTAATTTTCTATTTGTACAGATGTGGCCATAGAGCCTAGTTCAGAATAGTGATCCTTTATACGTAAGTACTACAGTCATCATTTTGAATGAAAGAAAACATGAGGTAAGATTAGACATAATGTTAACTTTTGAAAAGAATAAAGTAATGATGACTTTCACTTTTGCTGGGAATGAGGCAACCAAAAAGGCTCTTTTATATTTTTCCCATTCATTCAATACTGAGAATACAATCTAAATGCTAGGCACTAAAGGATTATAAAATGTACAAGACACTTTTCCTGCCTTGCAGGAATTCTAAGATGCTTCAGGATCGTGACTTTACAGGCTCTGGAAAAATTAAAGTACTGGCTATACAAGTACTTAGTAGGGATATTGTAGAAAGGATTCTATCATTAGTTGGGGAACTGGACTAGTACAATGGTTTTCAAATTATGCCCTATAATCCTTGGGGTTTCCTCAGAGTACAATTCCAGAGTAGGTGAGGTGATGAGTGGCTGGGCCTCCAGGACTTTAATCAGAATAGTGTTTTTAAATTCTAAGAATAATGTTTGGACCAAGGTAAAAAATTTTAAAACTACAGACCTAGACTTTAAGGTGCCTTCAAACCTTGAGTTTATGATGATAATACAGTACTCATTAATGAAAGCTATTAAATTCCTTTCTTAGAATTAAGTCAAACATTTGTTACTATTGTACTTTGTAACTCCTTTTAAACACTCACACTTATGTAATGTTCTTGGTCATCTTCTAAATCATCTTTGTCCATTAGGATTTTTTGAAGTGGTGTTTTCAATTGTTTTGGTGATAGTATAGCTGAATCAATATTTTCCATTCGTTCTTTCTCAGTGGTCACTTTTACTTTGAAGGTGTGAAAAGGTGTTGGTACTTCTCCCACATTTAAGTACATAGGCTCCCCTTCAAATATTACTCCTTCACAATCACCATCCTTAAAACCAGGAGGCTGGTAGTCTGGGGGTGTAACTGCAAAAAAGTTAAGTATAAACTGTCCTGTTAAGATTGAAAAAATTTTATTACTATTAAAATACACATACAGATTAAATTTCAAAGAGCATGGAAGGACATAAACTGAAAAATACAAAGTCATCCTCCTACTATTCACATTTTTTGGTACCAGGGATTGAACTCAGGGGCACTTGGCCACTGAGCCACAACCCCAGTCCTATTTTGTATTTTATTTAGAGACAGGATCTCACTGAGTTGCTTACTGCCTCACTTTTGCTGAGGCTGGCTTTGAACTTGCAATCTTCCTACATCAGCCTCCCAAGCTTCTGGGATTACAGGTATGCACCACTGCACGGGCCTGTGCACATTTTATTTCCTAAAGGTAACTTTTCCTTCCTAGGACTGAAGGTAGGGACACTCTACCAGTGAGCTACATCCTTGGTTCTATTTATTTATTTATTTGTTGTGCTGGGAATCAAACCCAGAGCCTTATGCATGCCAGACACACATTCTACCACTGAGCCACAATCTTAGCCCTTGTTCTTTTTATTTTTATTTTGAGACAGGGTCTCACTAAAGTTGCTGAGGCTGACTTAAACTTGTGATCCTTCAGCTTCAGTCTTTTTTTTTTTTTTTTTGTAGTTGTAAATGGACAGAATGGTTTTTTTTGTTGTTGTTTATTTTTTTATGGTGCTGAGGATTGAACCCAGTGCCTCACACATGCTAGGCAAGCGTTCTTCCACTGAGCTACAGCTCCAATCCTGTCTCAGTCTTTTGAGACTCTGGGATCAAAGGGATGGGCCACCATGCCTGTGTAACTTTTAGCAAATTATTTTTCATCCCTGATTTGGTTTCTTTATCTGTCAAATGAGGAAAATAAGTTACCTACCCTCATAGATTCACTGTTTATAAAACAAATTAAAGCATTGTAAAATGTTCAGAAGAGAACTGGCAGAGTTAGTATTTTCTAAATGTTATTATAGTTACCTTATGTTCTACAAAACATTATGAATGTAATAAAAGAATGCTTCATATTTACACAGGTTTTAGGAAATGCATATCCTTAAAAAACAAAATGAGACATATAATTCTGTACCTAGTTCTTATTTTTTATTTTTTGGTACTAGGGATTGAACCTAGGGGCACTTAACCACTGAGCCACATCCCCAGCCTTTTTAAATACTTTATTTAAAGACAGGGTCTCACTGAGTTGCTTAGGGCCTCACTAAATTGCTAAGGCTGGCTTTGATCTTCCTGCCTCAGTTTCCCAAGTCACTGGGATTATAGGCGTGTGCCACCACACCTTCTTCATTTAATAATCTCTCTTAGACAATTTACCAGAACATCCTTTGTTACCACTTGCACAGTATTCTATTCTACAGATGTATCATTATTTATTTATTCATACCTAAGAAAGGACACTCAAGTTGATTCCAGTTTGTTCCTCTTTTAGTCAAAGCTATAATGAAAATTCTTATAAATATATAGTGTTACATATACAAGTATATTCTCAAATTTTTTTAACTATAGATCTTTTAATTTAAAATTTTGATACTGCCAAATTGTCTTCTGAAAATGTTGCACTTATATGCATTCCCTCAAGAATGTATAAAAGTACCTGCTTTCCCACACCTTTGTCAATAAAGGATTTACAAATTTTACCAATTTGATAAGTGAAAATTGGCATATCACTGTTTTATTTCCTTAATTATGAGGCAAGTTATACATTAACATGTTCCTATCACTAGAAAAGTGTATATTTTTATATATTTAAAGAAGTGTAATTCTGGCAACTTGGGAGACTGAGACAGGAGGATCACAAGTTCAAGGCCAGCCTGGGCAACTTTGTGAGATTCTTTCTCAAAATAAAATAAAAAGGGGCAAGGGTTGTGGCTCAGTGGTAGAGGGCTTTGAGTTCAATCCCCAGTACAACAAAACAAAAAAATGAAAACAAAAGACTATTTTTTTCAAATCTTTCCTTTTCAAATAATGCTGTTATATGCGAAATTTATAATTTCAAAAAATATATAAAAATTAAGGTGCTAAAAACATTTGGAATGGTACCCAGACTGTTTTAATAATGGTATAGCACACAGGTACTGACTAAAACAGGACATATTGCAAATAATACCTTCATCATAGTAAAAAAGTTTCATGGTCAAACAAACATCATTAGGTAAAGGTCCCAGATTTTGCATTAGAATATAAATCTTGCGAATGAGGAGAATACTTGCTTTCTTGGTATCGGCAGATGACATGCTAGATTCATTACTTTGATTTTTACTAGAAGAGAATCAGATATTAATTTCTTTCACAAAACTTGTGGCTTCTAATATCATAACTTCACATTTTAACTAATTGAGACTCTTATTATAGCACCATGTTAAGCAGAAAGTTACTATAAAATGTGTTTTAATGTCACTATTATAAAATTTTTAAATCACTATTAATCTCATTATTATAATCTCACAGTTAATTTTATGTAATATGCATTTTATGTAAGGTGTTTAAAGGAAACGATGGATTTTAATTATATTTCTAATCACTCAAGTTCCTCTTCACAATTGAAAATAGAATATAATTAGCTATATAATCTTCTTTGTAGCCACTCCAAGTCACTACTCCATTTGTATAGTCACATCTTGGAGGCTAATTAGGGGTTTGACAAATTTTAGAATTAATACTGAAATTTAGTTTTATAGTATTAATGAACAAATAATCTGTAAAATTAAAAAAAAAAAAACTACAGAACAGTACCTTATAAAGTCCATGATTGGTCCATTTTTTGTGTACTTGAACTTAAACTGGTAACATTCTGAAATTGTCTTAAATAGAAAACATTGCCATTATGTAACTGGTACATAGTTGTGGCTGCCAAATAGTTATATACTGCTTTTTTATGACTCTTAACATTTAGTTAACAGTTTTTTCCAACATGTTGACCCCTATTGGTCCATTGACACTCTCAAGTCTTCATAGTCAATTCCTATGATCTGGATTTCGAGTTTTAGTCTAATTCTCCCAGTCATTGCAATGTGTTATGTGTATCAAGTTAAGAACTCTTTAGTAAGCAGGCAAGAGAGAGATAATACCTCAACAGAATGTGTTCCCCAAAGTTCTTGTATTAAACACTTAATCCCTAATACAACAGTGCTGAGGGGTGAGATTTTTAAGAGAGAATTAGGTCCAGAGGGCCTTTATTAATGGACTAATGCTGTTTTATCACAGGACATATTGCAAATAATACCTTCATCGTAGTAAAAAAGTTTCATCTATTGTGGCAGTGGGTTCCTGATAAAAGGATGTGAGTTTGAGCTTTTTTTTTTCCCCCTCTTTCTGTCTCTTTGGGCTTTTTCTTCCCTTTCTTTGTCTCTTTGACCCATGCTCTCTTGTCCTTCCATCTTCCACCATAGGATGATGCAGCAAGAAAGCCTTTACCAAATGCCAGTGGCCCCTAGATCTTGGACTTTGCAGTCTCCAGAATTGCAAAAAAAATTAATCTCTCTTTTCTTATAAATTTTCCAATTTCAAGTATTCTGCTATAGCAGCATAAAACATTAAGACACTGCCATAGCCAGGTGTGGTAGCATATGCCTGTAATCCCAGTAACTCAGGACACTGAGGCAGGATGATCACATGTTCAAGGCCAGCCTCAGCAATTTAGTGAGAACCCTGTCTTTATTTTTTTTTTTTTTTAAAGAGAGAGTGAGAGAGAGAGATAGAGGTAGAGAGAGAGAGAATTTTTTAATATTTATTTTTTAGTATTTGGCGGACACAACATCTTTGTTTGTATGTGGTGCTGAGGATCGAACCCGGGCCGCACGCATGCCAGGCGAGCGCGCTACCGCTTGAGCCACATCCCCAGTCCAGAACCCTGTCTTTAAATAAAAAATAAAAAAGGGTGGTGGGCTTAAGAGTGGCCCCAGGTCCAATCCCCAGTATCAGATGAAAAAAAAAAAAAAACCCAATTATTATGGTTTGAAAGTCACTATTAGAACTCAGAACTCAAACTGAAATTTAATCTTCAACCTGAGGTATTAAGAGGTGGGACCACGAAGGTCCTTTAAAAAGGGATTAGATCACGAGGCCTCTGCCCTCATGAATAGACTGGTCCATTCATGGGTTAATGGGTTAATAGATTATCTCCAGAGCTGGTCTGTTATAAAAGACAGTTTGACTCTGTCTCTTGTATGAGACTGTCTCTTTTCATTATTTGATGTGTGTGCCACCTTAGGATTCAACATAGAGTCCCCAACAGCAGGAAGGCCCTCATCTGATGTGGCCCCTCAATCTTAGATCCAAGTCTCCAGAACTATAAACTGACTAGGCCTTTATTCTTTTACAAGTATCCCATTTTTGCTATTTAGTTACAGCAACAGAAAATGAACTAGGATATACACTAAGCACAGGGTTTAAATCTTTACCATACTGTAACCATATGCAAGCCATTTAAACTTTGTTTTCCAACCTAAAAAAATGGTTGGAGACAGTACCTAGCTAATTGGTAATGGTAAATTTTATCAAATGGGATAATTTATACAAAGCCCTTAATAAAGTTCCTGACATACATTAAATATTCCATAATATCATTAGTACATCAGTAAAGTTGTTTATTTACTGATAGAAAAGTACACAACTATAAAACATATGGTAATAAACATTTTCAGAACAATTAATTAGTTTTCTGAACAATCAACTAATTTATATCCTTTGCCAAAATCATGTGCTTTGTCACTATGGGCGTATATTAAGCATTGATAGCCAGCATGACTATCAGAGAAGATATATTCCTAATCCTCCTGAAGCTTGGAATACTTTGCTTTCTTTACATGTCAGTGCTCACATAAAGAAAGGAAACAGTTCTCTTTTTAAAAAAAAATAATTTTATTTATTTATTTATTTTTATGTGGTGCTGAGGATCAAACTCAGTGCCTTATGTGTGAGAGTGTTCTACCACTGAGCCACAAAAACCCAGCCCCCCATCTTTGTTTTTTTAATAAGTTTAAATCTGCTTTTCCACGACTGTGTGAAACATTATATTTTAACACCTGTAATGTAATGGTTAAGCACTTAGAGACCATGGACAAGAAACCTTGTACCTAGATTTCCTAATCTATAAAGTGGAGATGATAATGGTAATTACCACATGAAGGCTATGATGAATAAATGAAAGTGCTCACAAAGTCTAAGAATAGGCACTACTATAAAATATGCATTCAGTCGTTCCCTCTTGTTTCTTCTCATTTTCCCTTTCATTTCTTGTTCTGCCTCTCTCCTTTAACTGTAGTAGATGTGCCTCAATTGAGATGAATAGTCAAAGTTTAAGGATGAGTTCATTTTTTCTCAAAACTCATGTCTTTTGATAATTGCAGATAAGGAATATTGTAATTAAATAAGGGTCAGGCAATTTAGGTCATATCTAACAGTTTGTAAGCTTTATGGGCTAGGATCAGTTACATAATTTCACATAGTAACTGTATTTATCTGTTTAAACAGAATGATACAGGCCCTGACTCACTTCAGAAGACCTTTACAAGGTTTAAACATGAAAATACATACAAAACATGTTGATTAAAGCACAATTAAAAGCATAAAATATAAATATATTGTAGTTTTGACATTAGAAGCATTATGTTTCTTTACTAACTCAAGAACACGCACCTGAGGGTCTTCTGGATTGGTGTATACCTATTTAAAAATAATTTATAGTTGAGTTATCTGAGGTTAAGTATTCAAGAAAAAGTAAATTGGACATTTAAAGTAAAAGTATTAAGTGAACTCAGCAAAGCAAAACAAAAACAAAAATGACCACCCAAAATATTAGTTTATTACTTTTTTCCCATTGAATAGATCAGTTGTTTGAATAAAGTAACATAAACAATTCATAGTTTTAGTGTCATTAATAAAGCCAGGCTAAATTGACAGTCTTTAAAAAAATAACATACAACTTAAAAATACTTACAGCTAGAACGACCATCCTTAGCTGAAATACAACAAAGAACAAAAACCTTATTTGTATCCTATAAAATACGTTTTTCATGATGGAGCACAAAAATTCTGTGAACTAATTTAGGAGCTGGAAATGTAGGTTGGTTATAGAGCAAAAGCTTAATATGTGAGTGGCCCTGGGTTCAATCTCTAGCATCAAAATATCTAAAACAAATAAATACAAAAAAACTTTGTCTTATTTATTAAAGATACACTTTATATCATATCTGAGGCAACACTTTACCTATGCTTCTCTATTCCCCAAAATATCTATTTCTGCTAGAAATGATGGCTGAAATTCATGTCAGCATATTATTTGCTTTAAGAAAAACAGGACATTACTGCCAGTTAGAAGAAAAATATATATTGTGAAACAACATGTTAAAAGTTAGCAACATGAGTATGATTTTTTGGTCAGGGGATCCTGGGGCTCAAACTCAAGGCCTCATGAATGCTAGGCAAGCACTCTACCATTGAGTTATAACCACAGTCCCTAAGTTCTGATTGTGAAAAGAGCAAAAGTAGAGAGCTCAGGGTCCTATGCATTTAATAAAGGGGAGAGGCTTTGGAGACCATAGGAACAAGAACAACAAAAAATCATAGAAATTATTCACCTAACTGATCTACCAAAAAAATCTAGAATCATCATTGATTCTAATTTTTTCCTTATATTTCACAACCAATTCATCAACCAATCCAATCAGTTCTACTCCCTTATCTATTCTGAATCTCCTCTTCTGTCATCCTAACTCATCATTAGTTCTCATCATTACTACAGTAATATCCTAAGTGCTATTCCTCCTACTCCCAACATTATTCTCCTTCTATACATATTCTCTAAACAGTAGACAGATTTTTAAACAATGTAAAACATAAACCAAATGATGTTATATTTCTATTTAAAATCTTCAATGACTTTTCTTTGCCTCTGAAATGCAAACTATTTACCTATAAAACATTGAATGCTCAGACTCAAAATTATTTTATAAGGCTCATCTCATGCCATTCTTTCCCATGGCATTATGACCCAGTCATTATGACCCTCATTTTCTTCCTGTAACTCAAATTGCTCTATAATTCTTTGCTCATCATCCAGGAATATTCTCTCCCCAAATCAATGTCTGGCTGATTTCTTCTCATTCAGGTCTCAGTTCAAAAGTCATCTCCTCAGAGAAGTTCCTCTGATTATCCCATCTAAAGTATGTTCTCTACATTTATCACATACTTTTCCTAAAAAAATTAATGGCATCTAACACTATTGGAAAGTATCTATTGACTATTTTCCTACTATAAAAGGGACCCTCTTTGTTTTGTTGACCACTATTACCTTACCCTGGTCCTACCTAGAATATGCAACTTGCATATAGTAGGCACTAAATATTTACTATGTCTTCATGAGAAAGGTTAGGGACTATGGATAAAAATTCACCCTCACAATTTTGCTAGAACTGGATCTCTTTATAGATGTAGTATAAAATTACATTAAGTATGTAAAAAGGCTTAGTCTATTTTAAAAAACTTCATTAAAATTTCATTAATTCAGAATTTGTTGGGCTGGGGTTGTAGCTCAGTGGTAGAGCACTTGCCTAGCGTGTGTGAGGCCCTGGGTTCGATCCTTAGCACCACATAAAATAAATAAATAAAACATAGGTATTGTGTCCAACTACAACTAAAAAATAAATATCTTTTTAAAAGTATTTATTCTTAAGTTTTATATGGACATAACATCTTTATTTTACATTTATGTGATGCTGAGGATTGAACCCAGTGCCTCGTTTACGGTAGGCGAGCACTCTACCACTGAGCCATAACCCCAGCCCCATAAATATCTTTTTAAAAAAAATAAATTATTTATTTGTAGTCCTGGGGATTGAACTAGAAAAATGAACTACTTCATTTTTGAGATAAACCAGGGCATATGAGATAAGCACCCTGTCACTGAATTACATCTTGAGGCCAAGGAAATTTGTTTCTGAACCCTAATTAAGAAATAATTTATTAAATTATTAGTGTAAAGAAGATTGTAAAATGCATGTGAAACTAATAAATGGACTATAAGTTCATTAATTCTTTAAGTTAGTATGTGCTACTAGTACCAATGAATATTAATTAACCAAAACCAGCTTGGCAAAATTTCTTTAGTATTAATTACATTAGGCTTAAAATGAGTTGAAGATTAGGTTTTAAAATATTCAAATGTTCAAACTTTTCAGTAACTCAAACTGGCCTATGCCCAAGTTAATTTAATGTTTTACTACATGTCAATTCCTATCAAATTTATAGAATATAAAATAAAGAAGTAAATTTGTACTGAAAGACTTACATATTTTTTCTGTAAAGCATCATAGCATCCTAGCATCCTAAAAAAGCCAAAAATTCATTTTAGATTAAATACATTTCTAGAAAATAGATATTTTCATAAATCTCTATACTATCTCATTACTAAATAATACCCAAATTTCTTTTTTTAAATATTTTTTTAGTTGTAGATGGATACACAATATCTTTATTTTTATGTAGTGCTGAGGATCGAACCCAGTGCTTCATTGATGCAAGGCAAGCACACTACCAGAGCCCCAGCTCCAGCCTCCAAATTTCTTATTAAAGCACTCTGCTATGTTTTTTGTTTTGATATTGAGGATTGAATCCAGGGGCTCTTTGTCATTAAACTATGTTTCTAGGCCTTTACTTTTTTTTTTTTTTTAATTTTAGACAGGTTCTTACTAAATTGCTGAGGCAGGCTTTGAAGTTGAGATCCTCTAGAGTTGCTGAGATCAGAGGTGTGTGCCACTGTGCCCAGCAAAGCAACCTTCTTATCAAAGAGCTTAAAACAAAACAAGAAGATGAATAGGTTGGTGCACATCTGTAATCCCAGTAACTCAGGAGGATGAGGCAGGAAGTCTACAAGTTCAAAGCTAGCCTCAGCAATTTAGCAGACCCTGTTTCAAAATAAAAAATATAGGGCTGGAGTTGTGGCTCAGTAGTAGAGCACTCGGCCTAGCATGTGCAAGGCCCTGGGTTCGATCCTCAGCACCACGTTAAAAAATATAAATGAATAAAGGTATTGTGTCCAACTACAACTAATATATATTAAAAAAATATATATATATGAGATAAAAAAATAAATAAAAAATATAAAGGGCTGAGGATGTGACTCAGTTGTTAAGGGGGCCCTGAATTCAATCACTGGTACCAAAAAGAAAAACAAAACAAAAACCAAGATAAAACATAAGAAACAATATGGCAGAAATATAAAATGATGATGGGGATGGAAGGCAACTATAACATATTTGACAGCTATTTAGAGGAGCGATAATAAGAAAATGAAGCTCCTCATTTCAGGCATGAAATAAAAGAAAAATTAAATGCATAAATCCAAAGATCTGAAAAAACCATACCCAGTGTTGGGGCTGGGGCTATAGCTCAGTAGCAGAGCACTTGCCTAGCATGTGTAAGGCAATGGGTTCAACCCTTAGCATCACATAAAAGAAACAAATAAAGGCATTCTGTCCCTCTACACCTACAAAAAACATTAATAAAATTTTTTTAAAAATGTTACCCAGTGTTAATTGGTTAATCACAAAAATCTGGTTAAACACTGAAAGGTATTTAATGTACATAAAAATGTGATTTTGAAAAATCATTATTTATCTTTAGGAATTTTTTTTTTTTTTTTACTTACCACTTCACTAACTGTGTTGATCCTGGACAATTTTTATCTTCTCTCAGAATTTTGACACAAAGATCTAAATCCAAAAACAAATAAACTCAAGAGTTATAGTATAAACTGGCATGTTATTTTTATTGCCTTAAAATAGCACAAGAACATACACTACCACAAAGTTTTCAAGGCTAACCTTTAACTTGTGATCCTCCTGCCTCAGCCTTCCAAGTTGATGGGATTACAGACTTGTGTCACTGTGCCTGGCCAAAATGTTTTTTATCTATTTACTTCATCATTGTAAATGTAATGTCAGGTGAAATTACACTAGAGAAACTGAAAAAAATTTTTAAAAGTAAGTTTTTTCAAAAGTATTGAATATACTTCTTTAAAACCCACTTAGAGGGCTAGGGGTGTAGCTCAATGGCAGAGCAATTGCCTAGTATGTGTGAGGTCCTGGCTTTGATCTCTGCACTTCAAAAAAACAAAACAAAACAAAACAAAAACCATTTAGTTGCCCAAACAAAAAACTTGAACATGAATGTGGTGTCATATATGACAGCCAAAGAGAGAAAACAACCCACATGTTCAACTGTTACAGCCACTTACATAGTCACTGAATAATGGTACATTATTCAGTAACTTGGGGAATAAAGTACTAACATATGCTACTGGGGTTGTAACTCAGTGGTAGAGTGCTTGTTTAGCATGTGTGAGGTACTGGGTTTGGTTCTCAGCACTGCATATAAATAAATAAACAAAGGTCCATTGACAAATCACACTAAAAAAAAATATTAAAAAGAAAGGCAAGCCAAAATAAGCATGTATGGTGGGGGGGCTGGGCTGTGGCTGGCTCAGCGGTAGAGCACTTGCCTAGCACATGTGAGGCCCTGGGTTTGATCCTCAGCACCACATAAAAATAAATAAATGAAATAAAGGTATTGTGTCCAACTATAGCTAAAAAATAAATATTTTTTTTAAAAAAGCATGTATGGACATCATAAACATTAGGCTAAAAGAATCCAGTCATGAAGGACCATATATTATAGGATTCCTTTCATATGAAGTGTCTGGAATAGGTAAATGCATAGATCAGAAAGCAGATTGGTGGTTGCCTATGACTGGGAAGGCAGGGGGAAAGACAATAGTGACTTAATGGGTATGGAGTTTCTTTTGGGGGTGATGAAGATATTCTACCATTGACTGTGGTGACAGTTGCACAATTTGGTGAACATACTAAAATTAATAAATTGTACACTCTAAATTTGTGAATTATTGGATATATGAATTATATTAATAAAATTTCTACTAAAATCACAATCTTTAAATCAAAAGTTACAGTTGTAAGGGCTGGGGATGAAGCTCAGTGGTTGAATGCTTGCTTAGAATGTGTGAAGTACTGGGATTAATACCCAGGACCAAGGAAAAAAAAGTTAGTTTAAGAGCAAACCAAGGGGTCTGGGGTTGTAACTCAGTGGTAGAGTGGTTGTCTAGCATGTGTGAGGTACTGGGTTTGGTTCTCAACACTGCATATAAATAAATAAACAAAGGTCCACTGACAACTAAAATATTTTTTTTAAAAAAGGCAAGCCAAAATAAAATCTTTTTCTTTTTCGTACTGGGGATTGTATCCAGGGGTGCTTTACTACTGTACTACATCTCCAGTTTTTATTTATTTTTTAACTTTGTTTGAGAAAGAGTCTCACTAAATTGCTGATGGGGGCCTCAAACTTCCAATCCTCTTGCTTCAGCCTCCCAAGATGCTGGGACTACAGGCCCAGCCAACAACATGTTTAAAAGAAAGTCTTAATATTACATTACCATCTAGATATCTTGTTCCATAAGCACACTCGGGAAATATTCCTCTCAAATACGTGATGCAGGATACTGAAACTGCTAACAGTCTCTTCACTAATACCAAAGACTGCTGCTCAGTTGATATCTTACTGGGAAATACCAATGCACTCTACAATTCAAAGGAAATTAAAACATCTTATTTACATTTATTGAAAATAAAGTTTCCTTGCACTTAAGAACAGATCTAATTTTGCATAAACATGATGATGTTCTCCCTATGAATTCCTCCCCATAGTGTTTAGAAATCCTGAGAATATTGGAATAGGTTATAAAATGTAAGGATGTACTAGAGTAACCGCATAAAGGTACATGCAAAAAGTACTTAATAATCTCCTTGCAAATTAACTGTAAATGCATAATACAGGGATAGATAAGATTTTCACTTTAGTCATTGACTAATTTAATATAAGCTAACTATGATGCATCATCCCCCAAATGACAATTTTATATTTTTCTTTTGAGTCATGAATATTTTCTAGTAGTAGACTGGTATGAACAATAATTTCATCAAAACAATTGAACAGCATTCATTAATACCTACTGTAAATTAAATTTGAGCCTATAATGTAAAGTAATATACCAAATATATGACAGAATTCTACATTAGTTGAAAATTTTAGCAAATTTTTTTTTTTTTTTTTTTTTTGGTACCAGGGATTGAACCCAAGGGCACTTGATCACTGAGCCACACTGAGCCACATCCCTACCCTATTTTGTATTTTATTTAGAGCCTCACTGAGTTGCTTAGTCCCTTGCCATTGCTGAGGCTGGCTTTTAACTCTTTTTTTTTTTTTTTTTAGCTACACATGACATTAGAATGATCTTGGCAATTCATACATTTGAATCAACTGGGGTATAATTTCTCATTTTTCTGATTGTACAGATTGCAGAATCACATTTTGAGTAAGGTTCTCATTTTGAGCCATTTGATAGCAGATCTCACATAAATGGATTATTAAAGTAATTTGTTTATTTAGTGCTGGAGATTGAACCCATAGTCTGTACATACAGCAATCATAATGTCTATTCTATTCTGCTGCCCAGCTTTTAACTCTTGATCCTCCTATCTCAGCCTCCCAAACTGCTGGGATTACACGTGTGCACCACCGCACCAGCAAATTTCTTCTATTCTTAAAACAGGTATTATTAAACCCTCAAAAATAAAGTACCTAAGGCTTTAAGAAACAATAAAATCCATATATGTGTACTCATATGCATATACATATCTACACACACACACACACACACACACAGAAATAAAAGAACTCATACCATGGAAGTCCTCTGCAATTGTGCAGTGGCCATCTTCTGACAAAATACTTTAAATTCAACCCTGTGACACAAATATTAACTTTAACTTCAGATTTTATTTCTTACATTCTAAACCAGAATTTTATTTGAACAAATTTCAGAATTTATTAAAAAGAAACATAAAAATTCCCATAGTCTGTTCATTGCTAAGCACTTGCTCTACCAGGTTATACCCTACCCCAAGAAACTAGGTTTTTTCTTTTTTTTTGTTTGGTGTGTGTGTGTGTGTGTGTGTGTGTGTGTTTAGGTGCATCTCCCTATGTTGCCTAGGATGGTTCTGAACTCCTGGGATGAAATGATACCAGTCATGAAAAACTATCTCTGGGAAGCCCTTTTTTAAATTAAAACACGTGGTGTCGCGCGCCTGTCATCCCAGCAGCTCAGGAGGCTGAGGAGGATCCCAAGTTCAAAGCCAGCTCAGCAAAAGCGAGGCGCTAAGCAACTCAGTGAGACCTGCCTCTAAATGCAATTCTAAATAGGGCTGGGGTGTGGTCAGTGGTCAGTGCCCCTGGGTTCAATCCCCGGTACAAAAAAAAAAAAAAAAGTATATCTAGCTTCAAAATATTCGCATCAGGTTTCTCTCAATGGCTTTAGAAAGGCGTGTGGCCGCCCCTGCGGACGCCCCAGGAGGGCGGCGGGAAGGCCCTAGGCGGCATGACCCAGTCGGTTTCTCAGTTACAGCGGCCCAGGGCCGGGGACGTGGATGTCGTTTGGCAGCAGTTCTGTCTTTCCTGCAGACAGAGCGGCCAGAATCGCCGGGCTTCGCGGGGTCCGGTCACGGCGGGGCTGGCCTTCAGGCTCCTCGAGCGCGACCGGAGGCGCCCGCGTTCGCACGCCCTCAGGGGCCTCTCGCGAAAGGAGCAGGCGCACATTTCCCCCACGTGTTTCGCCATGAAGACCTCAAGAAACTTAAAAGTAGGCGGGAGGCGACAGAAAAAAGATTAAAAGGTAAAAACACAAAACCAAGAACAAACACACATATATATTACGTAACGTCTGAGGGTAGCACGCCAGCGACCAGAACCTCACCGCCCGGCACGCGCTTCGACACACGCGCATGCGCTCTCCTTCAACGGTCGCCGTGGCGCTACAGCGGCGCTTGGACTCCGGAAGAACGTCCCCTTTCCCGCCAGGGCTTCGCAAGGCGCTCTGGGAACTCTGCGAGCCGGAAGTCCGCCGCGGTGCCACGGCTCTGGCCGGTAGGCAGTCGGATGGGGTTAAGTAGAGGCACGTGGCGAGCTTTCTTAGCATGCTAGCGCCGCTGCCGTAGCCCAAATGACGCCAGCCACTGTGTAATTCACCCCTCCATTTCTGGTTGTTTCCGATGGCGCCTCGACTGCCCAGCTTTTCGTGTCTTCAGGAAGGCAGTTCCCCAACAGTTCCCTACTTATAGTTTCCACCGAGCTGTAACCGTAGGTCTCATTTACAAACAAAATCAGAACGGATGGTAATTGCAGTCTTTCCAGGAGCACAAGATCCTTACTTTTCAGATTCTTACATATCCAAATAAACTGTGTTGCTGGTATAAACAACATAAATTTTGATGTCTTCGTTATGGAGGAAGTGACCACCCCAATATGAATATACTTTACGTGATCATTTAATTAGGCAAAGGAGACTAGAATCCTATTTCCAGGATTAAAAGTAGTGAAGACCTTGGTCAAATAATTATTTTGCCTTACATTTCTCTAACATTTATTTGGCACCAGGGATTGAACCCAGGGGTACTGAACCACTGAGCTACATCCCCAGTCCATTTTTACTTTTAGTTTGAGACAGGGTCTCCCTGAGTTGCTTAGGGCCTCCTTAAATTGTTGAGGCTGGCTTTGAACCTCAGCCTCCCCAGCCAGGCATGCACCACTGTGCCCCACATTTTTTTCATGTTCAAAGTTTACAAAAGTTTTTCTCATTCACTGTCCTATTCTTGGCTTGCCCTGTTACCAGAACTTTGTGAGGAAGACACTGGTATTGAAGTGGCACCCCCTTCTCCACAGAAAAGCCCTCTTCACCATGGCTGACTTTAGGTCAGCAAAAGAGTCTCTGCAAAAGAGTTCAATGGAGATAAACTTCCTATTTTCGTGTTGCCCTGTTTACTTGGGCCGCTGGCAGGGAAGATACCAGCACTCCAGGTGCTGGACACCCCTTACTAGTTTTTCACAAATGTATCCTGTATAGTAGTTTGTAAAAATCCTGGTCTTGAGCTGGGCTTCATAGAGATGTCTACATTTTTAAGATGTTACAAATGGGCTCCATGGTAACAGTTGGCAGCGGAAGAAAGAAAGGGGAGATGAAGGTCTCCCCTTCTCAGGTGTTGTCCTTGAAGAGTTAACTTGCCCAGAACAGTGAAAGAAAAAACTGCTTTTATGTGAACTTCTGCAGACTGAATTTCTGAGCCCCTCCCCTTACACGCTGGATATAAAATTCTGAAACTCCCTGAACTCGGGGTTCAGGGGATTGATTGATTACAGCAAAAGCTGTGCCCTCTGAACCTGGCTGCAGCCAAATAAAACTGTTTCCTGCTATCTTTGGTGCCTTGCCTTGTTTGTCCCTGCAACAGTATTGCTCCTAATTTATTTTCCTCTTTCCTTCATTCCTTTTTCCCTCCCTCCCTCTCCCCTTTCTTCCTTCCTTCCTGTCTTCCTTCCTTTACTCTTTTGTTCTATACAATCCTCCAAGATAGGGATCAAACTTCTACTTTAAAAATAATAAAACAGATTTAGGAAAATTTGTTTTCCCAAGATCACCACAAACTTCAGTGTTAGCAGAGGGGGCCACTACACCATCTAAAGATGTCATATAAAATTTAAGATATAGTGCTGCATATTAAATTTATTTGTAGTTTTCATTAATAACTATAGAAAAAGGAAAAAACAGTTCATCCATCATTCATAGAATCATAACAATGCAATCACTATCTACTGATTTCTATATCATTAACTATACTTTTGAGGATGAGAGTGGAGAACTGGGTGGTATTAGTGCAAGAGATCTGAAACTTCAATTATAGAATAAATCTATAGGTACCATATAAAATCAAGATTCAAAAAACGGCAATGTGTATATATTGGAAACCTGAAGATGAATTCCAGAAGAAACAGACAAAACAATTATTGTTGATTCAAAAATGTTACTGATTTTAAAAATATTGGTTAATAGAATGTGACATCATGCAAAAAACTTATAATAAGCTTACATCATGCAATAAACAACTGTCCATTATACATAGTATTAATCATAGTACATGTTGAATTTGCTTCTTGAGTTTTTTAATAAAGGCTTCTAGGCACTGTATCCAACAAAGCATTTCTTTTTTTGAGAAAAAGCAAAAAGGTTTGCTTTGCTGGCAAAGGAGAAACATTGAACATAACATTTTTTGTTGTATAGAAATCAGTAAATTCTTAGTTGTTTTATGCAAGCACTGTCAAGATACACATACATCTGTAAACTATGGATCAACTCAACTTCTCATTTGCTATTTGAAATTAGTGTTTAAATGTAACATTTTAAAATTTGCTTGTATATACATAAAAAATTCTAGAAATATATACAAATACTAATAGCAGTGGTTACTTCTAAGGATTAGGCATCTAAGCCTATAAGGGAAATTAGTGGGATAGAGATTTTTCACTTTCTTTTATGTACACATGCATGCACACACACACACACACAACACACGACAATCCTTATTATTCACAAATCTCACATTTGTGAATTTACCCATTTACTAAATTTATTTGTAAACCCCAAATTAGTGATAAGTTCAATAGGGCTTTTTCAGCTTGCAGACATGTTCAGAATAGCAAAAACATGAGCCTGGTTACATTCTGCCCTTCTTGTTTTAGCTCTCATTGTAAACAAGCATCTTTTCTGAGTGCTAGTTAGTGCCACACTTTTTGCTTCTTTGTGTTTCATGCTTCATATGTGTGTGATTTTGCTGTGTAATGCTGAGGCAGGAGGATCAAGAGTTCAAAGCCAGCCTCAGCAATGGCGAGGGCTAAGCAACTCAGTGAGACCCAGTCTCTAAATAAAATACAAAATAGGGCTGAGGATGTGGCTCACTGGTTGAATGCCTCTGAGTTCAGTCCCCAGTACCAAAAAAAAAAGAGATCGTTTGTGCTGTGTAGTTTTCCTAACTGTAAGGTTGTGATGTGCCTTACAGAGAAATTATATATGTTAAATAAGTTTCCTTTAGGCATGAGTTACAGAGCATTTGACTGTGAATTCAATGTTAATGAATCAACAATATATATTAAATAATTATTTTAAGGAGAAACACACAAAATAAATTTGGATATTGATTCAGTTGATGAAAATATGGTGACCAGAGACTCATAAGAACCTATCCCTGTATTATTCCTTGAAGTAATATTTCAGTATTTGTTAATTCAGTGTTCATGGTGATTTTCTAGAACATGACTAGTGCAAATAATGAGAATTAACTATTATATACTTTTAATTTTTGAGCCATGTGAATATAGTAGCTATACTAAAAAGTAGTTAAATTTTAAAAACATTCAAGAACTGATTGTGACTTGACTATTATATAATTTTCACTTACTATTTTATTTAAGCAACTTCATTAGTTATCTTTATCTTAGTGAAGCAGAAAGGAAAGGTAAAGAATCCAGATCAAAGTACAGGCTTCCCAGGGGCCACTTGTCAAAAGAAACTAACTTTATTTTTAGAACCACACACGCCAAACAAAACAGCCTCTCAGGAAAAACCCTCAGAGCCTCAACTGCCACCACCGGCTTTCCACAAGCCTCTCTCTCCCACACAAGCTTCTCTCCACCTCCCACAATCCTCCTGCTCTTGAGGCCGATTGGCTGGGTCACGTGGGCAGAGCCAAAAAAGTCCCCCACTGAGCAGCTCCGTGGTCTGAAAGGGCAGGGAAACAGCCCAATGAGCATCACCGCAGAGGAGCCAATCAGCTAGATGTTGCTGGGGCCGCTGTGAGCCAATCATCAGCTGGCAGCTGGAAGTTTGCTGGCAGCTGGAAGTTTGCTGGGGCCCCTTTGGCTGTGGCTCTCAACATCTCCCCCTCTCTGTTTAAACAACAAGCATGTGGCTTAGGGACCGTGCCTGCCTTAGGTTGTCCAATAGTACATATGGTCCTTAGGTTGGTACCATTGCAATTGGATCTTACCCGTCACTGACTACCGGTCCAGTATACAGCCACACCTGTGGAGAGGTCTTTGTACCAGCGGGGGGGTGAGGTTCTTTGCCTCACCTCTGTTGGCCCCCAAATTTTAGCTGGACGATCATGACAAGCAGAAGGGAGGAAGATACACCAAGCCAATTGACGGCTCCTTTTGGAAAAATTGTACCACCAATGACATCATCAGCAAAAATACCCCAACACTACCACAAGTCGCTGCACCAACAGATAGTTCACAATGCATACAGGTGAGCTCACAATGTGTCCAGGCAAGTTCTGCAAGCAGTTCAGTGATGGCTATTGTAGAAGCTGTAGATTGGTTTTATCTTTGACTTCACCAGCACTGGGATGAAGATAGGAATTCTGGCAATAATGGCTAAAGAAAAAATTATGTAACATTACAGAAGGCACTAAAAGAAAACAATTTTCTTAACAATTTACATTGTCTTTAAGAGAATTATTAAATATAATGAAAATGAAAGGTGAAAGTAAACAAACAGATCTGTTAACCTTCTTTTTTGTTTACATATTAAAACAATCCTCAACAGTTGTTTACCCAATTTAAATTAAACCATATAAATCACGTGAAAAAAAAATATTTGGATCCATATTATCATGAGCGCTCATCATATATGATATATGGACATACATACATTCAAACATATAACACAAAACACAAGTGTGCACACATAATATAATACATACAACACACAACATTATAGTAAAGGCCTTATAACTTTTTACAGGTGAAATCTCCATTGCAATGTTTAAAAACTCTATAGTCAAAAAATAGAACTGATCAGCAAAACATTAACCTAGGTCTGTATGAGCTCAAAAAACAAAATAGAACTTCATGATATGGCAAAGGGCAATAACAAAATAGATATTGAAAAAAGCATCCTGGTTCTGTTGCAGATGTAAGAATAGCCAAACTGGAGTTTTGGATATCAGTTGTTATGGATTTGAGCCAAATCATCTTCTTTTTGGTCTGTAGAAATCGCTTTAGTTAATCTTTCTGGAATCCAAATCGGCTGCTGTTCTCCCTGTGGAAGCCCATCACCAGCATACCACAATTAACATTTCCATGATAGAATATTATAGTTAGCTAAGAATCATTTTAAAAGAATGATATATAGTGAAGCCAGGCACAGTGGCACATGCCTATAGTACCAACTACTTAGGAAGATCACTTGAACCCATGAGTTTGAAGACAGCCTAGGCAACATATTGAGATCTCATGTTAAAAAATAAAATAAATAAATAAAATGATGCAGACATAGAAATTTGAAATAGATTTATTAAGCTCTTTTAGACCACCAAGTTACAAAAGGCTATTGAAAGAAAAAAATAAAGAGTGCAAAATAAAACAAGGACAAACTTCTCAGATTGTCCTTGGTGGACCAATTCTAATACAGTGACATCTATGGTACATTATTCATTTACTTTGCAAGCTTTTTTCAGAAATATGCAAAGCTTTATAAAGTGAAAGCAAAATTTTCTAATTAGTAATGGTAAATATACATTGATGTTGATACATTTCATCTTTATTTCTACAGCAGGTAAAATTAAGAGAAAGTATTTCATCTTCTTGACTTGTTATAAAATGAAGAGGTCCTCTAAATTTCCGGGTAAGAGCAATAACTGGCAATCCCACAATGATTTTTACTATTTCTTGCCATCCGAATATATCCTTGTTCACCAAAGTGGAGGCCCCAGCTTTAGAAAAAGAAATGACACAAAATTACAAATGAAAAAAATCAAAATCATATTATCAACTTTTTATCTTTTTGGTTGTTTTTATTCTAAAATAATTATATGTGAAAAGCTATAAGACAATTTGAATGAAATAACATAATAATTTCCCCAGAGATGCAGGCAATTTTCAAATGACAGTTTGGAAGGCTTTAGTTCTATAGTGTTGAATAGACTTATTACTTAAGGAAAAAATGGACGTTTACCTTCTATAGGGAAAGAGTGGTATTATCCTTTATAACCAATCTCTAAATTTGCATAGTAGGATCATGGATGATGATTTTCTAACAAATTAAAATTCATCTGGAGAATATCTTTTTAAAAAATATTTATTTAGTTGTAGATGAACACACAATATCTTTATTTATTTTTATGTGGTGCTGAGGATCGAACCCAGAGCCTCACACACGTGAGGCAGGCACTTTACCACTGAGCTCAGCCTCAGCCCCTGGAAATAGCTTTTTTTTTTTTTTTTTTTGGAGAATAGCTTTTTAAGAAATACTTTTGAGTAACTACTGTGAAAATGTCAGGTCAGGGGATTCTAAAGTAAATGATAAACAGTGCAGTTCTGAAAGAGCTTTTTGATCTGGAAGCGGATGTGAGATAAGACTTTATCATAGGTAAAGCTATAAAAAATGATATGTTACCCTGTGAGAAGGTGAGCTCCCTGACGCTTGTTTAATCAGAAGTTTGTTGCCTAAGTTAAAGATTTACAGAGAGAATTCATAAGCCAGCTAATGGTTAGAGAAAACCAATGGTTCACTCACTTTTTGGTTCCATGGATGTAGAGGATTTAAATTTTTTTTTTTTTTTTGCAGCTTGACATAAAGATACCAATTTAAAAATTATCATGTGTGAACAAAAATATATTCTAACCTGTCTGGCACAGAGTAAGCAGGCAATAAATGGTAATTAATATTAATAATATCTTGGCAAGAGCTTATTGTTATTGCTTTTGCTTATCAAAATAGATACTGAACAATACATTCCTTTATAAGCAGTGACAATGGGGTTTGAATTTTAGTGTAAAAGTTTTTTTGTGCAAAATCATTAGAGGTTTTTAAGGAGAGCATAACGAATAAGTAAAAGGAAGAACAAGAAGGGAAAAAAGGAGTCTATGAAAGTATTTGAGAAGGAATGACCAAGAGACCAAAAAATCAGGACATAATGATGTCTTAAAGCCAAGAGAGAAGTGAAGTGGAGTAGGCTACTGTATCAAATGATGCAGAGATAAAAATAAGACCCGAAAAGTGTCCAGTGAGGACTGACACAAAGAATATTTAAAACCTCTTAAAGCACAGTCCCTTTAAATTATGCTGCTTGATTTCCAGCAGTAAAGCAGCACTTCTTCTCTCCGCCACGTGTAAAAATCACAATCTTCTTCTGAATCCCTGCGCAACAAGTTTGCAATAGCTTCCCTTTGCCTAAGAAACTGAAGTTTCTCATTTTGCTATCCTCTGCTATTCACAACTTGGCCCCAAACCAACTTTCTGCCCTTTTCTTTCCCTCCACTCTTTCACTGAAGATATCCAATTTTCCTTTCAACTAAATTTCTTGCTGCTTTCCCAATACATTAGATATTTTCTCTATTTTATGTTTTTATCTGTGCCCTAGTTACAGCACTCAGTCATCATCCTGTGAGGTATTATCACTGTCAAAAGTAACACAGATGGTAAATTATGAAGCCGAGGTTCAGATCTAGACTTGTTTTATTGCAAAGGCAACTCTAACTGTACCATCCCTATCCCTGTGTTATCCCTGCAAGTGAAGTAGTACAGGGAAGGAAATTGAGACCAGAACATTCAGGATCTTTTATAATTCATAATTTTTGTTAGTATTTGCTGCCTTAAAAACTAGGTAAAATAAATCACTTTTTCTGAGCTGAGTTTGGACCTGAATTCTGGTAGTGAAAACTGAAGTTATAGATATTGTTGCAGTCATATGCCGCATAAAAACATTTCAGTGAGCAATGGATCACATATACAAAGTGGTCAAATAAGATTATAATGGAGCTGCAAAATTCCATCACCCAGTGATGTTGTAGCTATCATAATGTTATAGCACTAGGCATTATGTGTGTGTGGTGATGCTAGTGTAAACAATTCTGCTATATTGCCACTTGTATGAAAACATAGCACAGGGCTGGGAATTTAGCTCAGTGGTAGAGCATTTACCTAGCATGTATGAAGCCCTGGGATTGATCACCAGCAAACCCGTCACCCCCTCCACAAACACAAATTATATAGCACATACAATTGTGATGATAGCAAACAACTATATTACTGGTTTATGTGTCTACTAGACTTTTGGGGGCTGCACTGGGGATTGAATCCAGGGCTGCTGTACCACGGAGTCACATCCACAGCACTTTTTACTCTTTGAGACAGGGTCTCACTAAGTTGTGTAGGGTCTCACTAAGTAGCTGAGGCTAGCTTTGAATTGGGCAATCCTCCTGCCTCATCCTCTACAATGGCTGGAATGATAGGTATGTGCCACTGTGTCAAGCCTGAGGACAGAATATTAGACACAGCAAACAGGGGGAATGTCATGTGAAATCGGAGGCAGAAATCAGACTGATGTTTCTACAGGCCAAGGAAAACCAAAAGCAGCAAACCTTCAGAAGCTAGGGGAAAGGTGTGGAGCATTTTTTAAAAATATTTATTTTTTAGTTGTAGTTGGACACACTACCTTTATTTTATTTATTTATTTATATGTGGTGCTGAGGATCGAACCCAGGGTCTCACACGTGCTAGGTGAGCACTCTGCCGCTGAGCCACAACCCCAGCCCCAAGCATTCTTTTAAAAATTAAAATATATAGTGAGGCACAGTGGTGCACACCTGTAATCCCAGCAGCTCAGGAGGCTGAGACAGGAGGATAGCAAGTTCAAAGCCAGCCTCAGCAATGGCGAGGTGCTAAGCAACTCAGTGAGACCTGTCTCTAAATAAAATACAAAAAAGGGCTGGGGATGTGTGTGGCTCAGGGGTCGAGTGCCCCTGAGTTCAATCCCCCATCCCCCCCCAAAAATATATTTAATTAACAAATATTATATATTCAGGGTGTACAATGATTATAATCAAATTAAGTAACACATCTATTTCCGCCTATGCTGTACATTAGATCCCCAGAACTTTTTCATGTTATAATTGAAAGTCTGTACCTTTTGGTCAACATCTCCTCATATTCCCCATCCCTATCTCCTGGCAACTACTGTCCTGCCCTCTATTTCTATGAGTTTGACTTTTTTAGATCTCACATATAACTACAATTATATAGTATTCTTTTTGTGCCTGTGAACATTTTCTTCCTCATAAACCTTATGATCATAAACCTAACCCTGATGATATCTTTATCTCTGACATCTGTCCTTTAGAACTGGAAGACATATATTCTTGTGGGTTTGTTTTTTATTTTGTTTTGTTTTGGGTACCAGGGATTGAATCCAGGGACACTAAACCACTGAGACCATTCTTAGCCCTTTTTTGTATTTTATTTATAGACAGGGTCTCACTGAGTTGCTTAGGGTCTACTAAATTGCTGAGGCTGGCTTTGAACTTGCAATCTTCCTGCCTCAGCCTCCCAAGATGCTGGTATTACAGGTGTGTGCCACTGTGCCTGGCCTAAACTTTTGTTTTTCAAGTCACTCAATTTGGGGCTGGGGTTGTGGCTCAGAGATAGAGCACTCGCCTAGCATATGCAAGGCACTGAGTTCGATCCTCAGCACCACATAAAAATAAATAAAATAAAGGCATGTGTCCCAACAACAACTTAAAAAAAGTTTTAAAAAAAGTCACTCAATTTGTGGTACTTTGTTATGGCAACCATAGGAATATAATATAAGAAGATGCTTTGAGTATGTGTGAGTCTTAACTCTTCATATTCCTCCCATTTTACGCTTCTAAAAGTCACATTCCTTTTGTTTATGAATTATATAGATGTAATTTTAATATGTATATTGAGGGGCCATTAGGTGCTGCTCATACTGTACGGAGGATAAAAGACAAGACATAATCTCTATCCCAAAGGCATATACAGAATATTGGAATGACAGGAAGTGTACACATAATGTACAGCATGCTGTGACTCCCTAGTCATAGGACATTTGGTCAGCATAGAAGAAAGACATTTTACTTGGCACAAAGATTCAAAGATTTTCTGGAATAGATAATGCCTGAGCTGCTTTTGAAGGCAAAGAAAGAATAAAGAAGAAGACATGAAGATATGAAGGATAAAATGGTAGAATGAAGATTATAACTACAAATCGTTCAATGTAACTAGAGTGGAAAGTATGGGACAATAAATGCCAGGATTTGAGACTGGCGAGACAGGTAAGGATTACAACATGGAAGACTTTTCATTATGCAGGAAACATTAATTTTACATTGAACAGTACTAAGTAGAAGCACTATAAGTGCAGACTCCTACCTTAAATCAGTTTGGCAGCAGTAAGAAAGACAGGTTTACAAGTAAAGGAGGTGAGTTAGAAGGCTGCAGCAGTAGTCCAGGTCAGAGATGTCTGAACTAGAGGAGTAATAGAAGAAGAGAGGAGACAGACCCAAGGATGGGTGCCAGGTAAAATCAGTTTGACTTGTTGCTTGATTGGAACTGGAAGGCTCTAGGATGGTTCCGTAGCATCTTATTAGGTGACTGTATTGTGTGATGTTGCCATTTATTGATATGGGAAATTCTGGAGAGAATAGTATGGTGGAGAAGGTACTGAGTTCTTAGGCAGGTTGAGTTTGGAGAGACTAAAATATAGGAAAAGTGTATATAACTAGATAAGTCTGAAGTTCTGGGTGGATGTCAGAGCTAGAGCTAGAGACAGAGAAGCCATCAGCTTATAGATTATGTTTAAGGTCACAATGACGTAGAAAAATGTAGAATAAGAAGAGTAATGGGCAGATGGTAGAGCTCTAGTATTGTAGAAGGTAAATGATGAAAACAGAGATGAAGGCAAGACAGTAAGTGGAGAAATAGGGGCACTGAGTAATTCAGAATGTCACTTTGTAAGAAGCTATAAATATTCATCATTGTAAGTATCATGATTGTCATCATAATCGTAAGAGCACATTTATCGAGGCTCCCTTCAATTCCTGATTTAATTAAATATACTAATGTGAAATACGTTACCTATTTTTCACAAGCCAATAGTCTTTCCCATTAAGGTTACCATAGCCAACCACTAGTACACCATGATTCACATTCTGAGTACAGGATGAGTCATAGTAGACACCTGCAAATAAAGTATGGGTAGAGAAAGATAGTGAATGATATATGATAATAAAGGGCATTTGAAAATTCTATTATTTTTATTAGACTCCTCTGGATATATGGCAGGATTCATTAAGACATCAGGAATATATATTCTCATGCTTCAGCTACGTAGAGCTCACCACTCTTTGCCATCAGTGCTGTATTTGTCAGGTTCTTGCCAAGTTTGGCACCAATCCATATTTCCCTCAGAAATCTCTGATAAACCAGCACCTTTGTCTAATTATTTAAAACTTATATATGGTTATTGTATTTCTTTGTATGTATATGCCTAAATTGCTTCATACATTTTCATTCTTTATTAAATGTGATGTTCTGATTTTTTATGTTCTTCAAAGTGAGGTTTAAAATATATTTACTCAGTTGGTAGAGTGCTTGCCTCACATGCACAAGGCCCTGGGTTCAATCCCCAGCACCACACACACACAAAATAATATATATATAAAGCATATATTTTATTTATATAATTATATGTTTTTAAAAATATATATATTTATATATTTGGATGGATGTCAGAACATTATATAATATTATATATATAATGAACATTATACAATGTTCTACCTTTAGTGGATACTCAGAAAATATGTTATTGAGTTTTGTATGTCTGTGTATTTTTTTTAAGTATTAACTTAAAAAATAGTGTTAGGTGCCCTCCTTATACACTGCTGTGCTACACCTACACTGCAAAGTCTCTCCAGGGGTTAAACGCACAGGCTTAGGAATGAAGTTGAGTACTTGTTGTTGTTGTTGAAATCCTTTATTTTTTAAAAAATATTTATTTATTTTTTAGTTGTAGTTGGACACAATACCTTTATTTTATTTATTCATTTTTATGTGGTGCTGAGGATGGAACCCAGGGCTTCACCCATGCTAGTCGAGCGCTTTACCACTGAGCCACAACTTCAGCCCTGAAATCCTTTATTTTTTAAAATTTAGATTTCTTTTTAACTGATACATAAAACAAAATAGTTCATATTTATGGGCAACCATGTGATAGTTAACATATCTGTTTCCTCAAACATTTATCTTTTCTTTTTTTCTTTTTTTAAGAAGTTTTTAAAAAATATTTATTTTTTAGTTGTAGTTGGACACAATACTTTAATTTTATTTATTTATTTATTTTTATGTGGTGCTAAGGATCAAACCCAGGGCCTCACATGTGCTAGGCTATCTCTCTACCACTGAGCCACAACCCCAGCCCCATTTATCATTTCTTTATGGTGAAAACATTCCAATTCTTTTCTTCTATGTTTTTGAAATATACACTACATTATCATCACCTTTTTTTAAATATCATCATTATCTTTTTTTTTTGAGAAAATCACTTGTTTATTTAAATATTGTACTTATGAAAAATCCCAGAATGAGAAACACGAGCATTTGTAATAATAATCAAATAAACATTATCATTATCTTAATGTGTTACTTATGTGCAATAGCACACTCCTTTTAACTATAACTTAGTACCCTTGGATCAACTTGTCACCATCCCTCTCACTTCCTGCTCTTTCTAGTCCCTGATAACCACCATTCTATTCTCAACTGATATGAGATCAACTTTTTTATATTCCACATGAGTGGAATCAAGTGGTACCTGTCTTTCTGTGTGTGATTTATTTCACTTAGCATAATGATCTTCAGTTCCATTCATGTTGTTGTAAATGTCCAGATTTCATTCTTTTTTTATGGCTGAATAGCATTCCATGTTGTATATATGTACCACATTTTCTTAATCCATTCATCAGTTGATGGACACCTAGGTTGTTTCCATTTCTTGTCTATTGTGAATAGTGCTGCAATAAACATGGGAATGCCGATATCTCTTCAACATACTGATCTCATTTTCTTTGAATATATATCCAGTAATGGTATTGCTGGATCATATGTTATATGGTAGTTTTGATTTTAAGGAACCACCATACTGTTTTCAATAATGACTGTATTAATTTTTTTTTCAGTACTAAGTATTGAACCCAGGGGCACTTAACCACTGAGCCATATCCCAGTCCTTTTTAAACATTTTATTTAGAGACAGTGCCTTTCTGAGTTGCTTAGGGCCTCCCTGAATTGCTGAGGTTGGCTGTATTATCCTGCCCTCAGCCTCCTGAGCCACTGGGATTACAGACTTGTGCCACCATACCCAGCAACTGTATTAATTTATATTCCCACCAAAGAGTGTACAGGATTTCCATTTCTGCATATCTTCATCAGCACTTGTTATATTTTGTCTTTTTGGAAATAACCTTTCTTACCAGAGCAAGGAGGTATTTCATGCAGTTTTGATTTGCATTTCCTTGATGATTAGTGATGTTGAACTTTTTTTTTTTTTTTTTTTCACATACTGGTTGGCTATTTGTCTATTTAGGTCTGTTGTTCCAACCCTCAACCCCCCATTCCTTTGAGATATTTCTTTGTCTAGCTTGGTCTTAAACTTGTAGGTTCAAGCAGTCCTCAGCCTCCCAAATAGCTGGGGTGATGAGAATGCACCCCTGGGCCCAGCTTGGATTGCCCATTTTTAAATCAGGTTGTTTATTTACTATTGAGTTGTTTAAGGTCCTTACATATTCTGAATATTAACCCCTTATCAGTTTAAAGTTTTCATATATTTTCTCCCATTTTGTAGGTCATCTTTCCACTCTGTTGATTCACTCAGCTTTGCTGAGCAGAAACTTTTTAGTTTGATGAAACCCTACTTGTCTACTTTTGCTTTTTTTTTCCCCTTGTGCTTGTGAAGTCTTGTCCAAAAACTATTGGCCAATTCCAGTGTCCACAGGCATTCTTCCTATGCTTTCTTCTAGTAGTTTCAGGTCTCAAGCTGCTTAAGTCTTTAGTTCATTTTAAGTTGATTTTTGTAACCCATTAGAGGCAGGGGTCTCATTTCATAGGATATCCTCTGCATATATATCCAGTTTCCCAACACCATTATTGAGAAGACTGTCTTTTCTCTGTTTGTTCTTAGCACCTTTGTCAAGAATCAGTTGACTGTGAATGTGTGGGTTTACTGTAGGATCTCCATTCTGTTCCAGTGGTCAATGTGTCTGTTTTTAAGCCAATACCATGCTGTTTTGTTTATTATAGTTTTGTAGTTTATTTTGAAGCCAGGTTGTATAACGCCTCATGCTTTGTTCTTTTTGCTTAAGACGGCTTTGGCTATTCTGAGTATTTCATGGTTCCATACAAATTTTAGGATTTTTTTCTAGTTATTGAAAAATGGCTTTGGTATTTTGATAGAAATTGCATTAAATCTGTAGCTCACTTTGGGTAGCATGGACATTTTAGCTATATTGACTTCTCCAGTGAACCTGGGAACACAGGATAGCCTTCGTGTGTGTGTGTGTATTCTCTTCCATTTATTTCATCAGTTTTATTTTCATTATAGAGATCTTTCCCCTCTTAAGCTAAACTTATTCATAGGGTTTTTTTTTTTTTTTTGGTAATTATTGTAAATGGGATTGCTTTCTTGATTTCTAGTTCAGATAATTGGCTATTTGATATATAAAAGAGCAACTGGTTTTTGTATGTTGACTTTGTTTCCTGCAACTTTGCTGAATTTGTTGCATAATTTTTAGTCCTAGATCAATCACTTTCAAGTTATGTGACTTTAAGCAAATTAACCCCTCTCGAGTGACTTTTTCATCTGTAAGTTTGAGTTATTTTGAAGATTTAAATAAAATAATATATCTAAATGATTTACTACAGTACCTGTCTTATAGTGTTAATAAGCTTTAATAAGTATATTAGAAATAGATACAAAAAGGTTATATGAAATGAAGATTTTGTTTAAGCTATCTAAACACTCAGAGGGGGAGAGATTGGGGAAGAATAATCTTATAGTACAGGGCAGCATAAAACAAGAGGATAAAATATCTGTTTTTACCACTTTTGTAGAGGAAGAAAGAAGGATGACTTGCATCTATAGCAACAGACACAGGTCCTTTATTGGCCACAGCTTCTTTCAGGACATCTTCATCACCATAGGGAAGTTGTGTGTACCTTGAACACGTGGCGGCACGATTTTTTGAGTCATATTGGCACTTTCCATCCTGCCAAAAAAAAAAAATGATAATTCAGATAAATAGTATATTTTGACTTTCTTTATAAATCACTAATATTCTAAGTCTGGTTTTCAAATATTTTCTTTCTCCCCCGCACCCCTGCAATTTATAGCACTGAACCCAGGGAACTGTACCGCACAGTTATGTTCCTAGCCCTTTTTGTTTTTTAATTTTGAGACAGGATCTGGCTAAGTTGCTTAAGACCTTGCTAAATTGCTGAGGCTGGCCTTGAACTTGAGATCTTCCTGCCTCAGCCTCCCAAGTTGCTAGAATTACAGTAATCCACCTATGTCCTGTGAAATATGTTTTCTTTGCTCAATTTAACCTTTTTTAAAAAAATATTTATTTTTTATTTTTGGTGGACACAATATCTTTATTTTATTTTTATGTGATGCAGAGAATCAAACCCAGTGCCTCACGCATGCTAGGCAAGCATGCTACCAATTGAGCCACATCCTCAGCCCCTCACTTTAACCTTTTCAAGTGTCTAAGACACCCTCTAATTTTTAAAGAAAGAAAATCTAAATTGTCTGAGTCCTAATGGTTCCAGATTTCACCTATGACAGAGGTAATATAGAATTATTTTATGGTTTTAAATTGTGAACATCTTCATACATGCAAAACTTGCCAGGCAATGTCTCCTCATACTCTGAGGTGTATTGTAGTGGTAATACTACATCATAAACTTTAGATTGAAACCTTAAAGTCTTTTTGATGATATAATACGTGCAAAATGATTTGCAGTTAAAATGATGGTTTAGAAGATCATATAATATGGAAAACAGTATATTTTAAGTAGGAAAATGGAGATTATGAATTCATGGTTGTGGTACATGCAACTATATTTTAGGTGCTTCACAGGAAAAGAGCTTGAGAGAAATAAACCAAAATAATAGTAGTTAAGATAGGGAGATTTTTGAGTGATATTTCTCTTTTTTAAATTTTCTGCAATATGCACATGACTTATTTAACAATATATGTAACAAACTTGCAAGAAAAACAGAACATTATTGAGTTTCTTAGTAGGTAGAAGAATGATCTGGTTATGGTTTGAGAGAATAAGGTTGAATATGGTAGGCTGCAGAACAAGAAAGTTTAAATATTAGGCAGATACACAAAGAATTTTAAGGATGGTATGCTTAAAGTCTGTGTTTAAGTATGAATGCTACTTGTTTGTTTAATAAACATTGTGCAACTAATAAATTAAAAAGGCTACTGCATAAAGGATGGGGATATAGTACAAGGTCCTGGGTTTGATTCCCAGTGCCTCTTTAAAAAAACAAAAAAAGGTTATTGCATAAGAAAGAGAAGTCTTGAGAACTGGAGGGTTCCCGATTGGAGTTCTCTTTCTTTTACACCCACACTGCTTCTCCATCAGTTGGCTTGGTGGTGTAGTCAGTACACAGATAATATGAGGTCATGGGGCAGCAACCAGAGTTTGCCTGTGACACACCATGGCCTTGTAGGGATAGGAAGCTTCTGAATCAATGCCGTTGTTATCAATGATGTATTGGAAAGCCTCCGTCATGAAGCCACCATTGCAGCCTTTATTCTCATATTTTTCAGTTGAACAATCCACCAGATTCTGGGCACTGAGAGAGACCAGATTTCCTGTTTTCATCTTCACTTGTGCTTCTAGGGCTCCCACAGCACTGAAAGCCCAGCAAGCACCACAGGAACCCTAAAACAGAGACAATGACACACTGCATTAATAGAAAGTAAGGATGGCTATTGCCATCTATCCTAGCTGGCAACCTGTGCTGGGTTCACAAATCTGACTATTCCAATAACTTAAGAAAACGGTGAAGAAAGCACGCAAACACACAGAAGTGCCTTTTCAAAATCCGGGACAGCTCTCTGACTGTAGGGGTCCATGGAAAAAGAGAGAGCTACTGGAATTCTTTATTCTTATATAGAGACACACAAGGGGAGGTGCCCTATCCCCAAAAGGGCAAAGGGGTAGGATTACAAAGGAGCAGGTGAGTGTAACTCATCCCCACCAGGTGACACCTTCTCTGGAGCCACGCCTCATCATCCCAGTGGAGGTAAAGCCCAAGTTATTGCAGGGCACTGTTCAGTATCTCTCACTCGGGACTTAAGGGCGAGTATTTCCAGAGAGGCTCCTGATAGATGGCTTCCATAACAAAAATTGGGCAACTCCAAGTTAGGTTAGCTCTGTCAATAGTTCCCAAGAAGGGATCCCCTACTTTACTTTCCTTCTCTCTTAGACAATGGGAATGAAAGCAAAATATTTGATTGTCCTCTAGATAAGATCCAACCTTGATGGAGACTTACAAATGGCTGAGCTAAGAACATAATGGGCATAATCAAATATATTAAGAATTAATATTCACTGAGCATGTGCCAGATCTCACCTGTCTCCACCTATGAAGAAGGGGGTTACATGTCCACAATAAAGTGATTTTTTAAAAGAATTTAACCATTATTTTATTTATTTGTTTTTTGTTTTTAATGTGGTGCTGAGGATCGAACCACAGCCTCACCCATCCTAGGAAAGGGCTCTATACCACTGAGCTATAAGCCCAGCCCAGTTAAGTGATTTTGAGTGACTTAATGATTTTTTTGCCTTAGGGTACCCTCCCTCCTGCCAAATAATGCCTGAAAGCAAGACCTTTAATACTAGGTAAACATTTTACATTATTATCCTTAGAAATGTTTTCAGAAGCTATTTTTTAGGGAGGTATAAACAAACAGAAAACCACAAATCTGCTTTAGTTAACAGAAGGTATAGAGGATATAGAGTTCCATGACAATTGCTTGTGTTTCTCTCTCTCTGTCTCCCTCTCTCTTTTCTCCTCCCCTCCCTCCTTGATGTTTATGCAATAGAACAGATTGAAATTGCTTTGGGTTAAAGAAAATTTGGTCATTAAAATGCAAGCACCCAGGGAAAGGAGCTCATACTCAGAGTTAATACCTAAAAATGTAGGTCTTTGGGTTTTCCCAAACTTCTATTTTTAGAGAAATTTGAGTAAGAAACCCAAAACTAGTTGAAAGAAAAATATATGAGTGGGAAAGAATACAAGTAGTACCTTTTACTTTCTTCATTTGTCACAAGCTCGGGCAGCTGCTTAGAATGCTGTTTCTTCTCCTTTACCCTAACTTCTAAGGTGACACGTGTTCTACCCGTAGTTACCTATGACTAACTTAGGATTTTTGTAGTTTAAAAAAAAAAAAACTCATGGAAAATACAACATAGGAACATCAATTTAACAAAACACAGATTTCTTAACAATGCAAACCTAGCTTTGAATTAACTTGACTGTACAATCTGTAGGTCAGTCTAACTCTAGTTCTTTCCTCACCTTCAACCCTGAAATTCAGAAGTTAGATGGAGAGTGAAACTTCTTGGTCAGGGTTTTCTCACACTCCTGGTGACTCTCAAGCAAATGGCTTGATGGTGGGTCTAGTGCAATCAATGAATGTCATGAGCACTAAAAGTTTGTTTGATAAATCTAATGACATAGTTCATAGTTTTTGTCTAAGGTAGCTGTATTACCATTGTGTTCGAAGAGCTGTGGGGACAACAAATAGAGTACAGTAAGTGACCCTTGCCTTCGGGGGCTTAAAATTTAGTTGGGGAAACAAGTACAGAAACAATTGGAAAGACACATAAGAGACTTTGGAGAGTCACTGCCAGATTGTGCAGCTAGACAGAAAGAGAGAGCTCTCTTGAGGGGCAGAGGCTGGGATGGTAAAACTCACCTGGGATTTGACTTCAGTAACACACCCCTTCTCTCTCCAGTCAAAAGACTCTGGCAATTTCTGATTAGGGTTTGACTTGTAAGTGTCATTTCTGTGCCATTTACTGGGAATCTTCAGGGAACTCATTAAAGACACCACTTCTTCACTGGTCTACAAAGCAAACATATGTCCCCCTTTACTTAATTTTTCTTTTTAATACCCTATAAACTGTAAATGTGAATATATTCTCAAACTGAGAAATATCATAATGGTAGTGACCAACTTAGGTACTATTGGCTAGTAGAGTGGATTATCTGGGTTTTTGGTCTTGCACTTTACATTAGCATCCCAGTTAGCTAAGCACTTGCATTGGGAAGAAGAGAAAGAAAATGGTAAAAACTAGAAGTTACACGGAGTCAGATGTTTGGTTCAAACTAAGACATAATTTTATAAAAATGCTGTCTAAAAAGCAGGCCAAATTTGGTTTTCCTTGTGAGAAAGCATTACAAAGGAAATTCCTGCAGTTAAGTAGGAATTTGGTCTACAAGGGGGATTCCTTCCAAAAAGTATTGCGATTCTTAATTCTGACCCAAATGGTAGTTTCTTTTTTTTTTTTTTTTTTTAAGAGAGAGAGAGAATTTTTTAATATTTGGCGGACACAACATCTTTGTATGTGGTGCTGAGGATCGAACCCGGGCCGCACGCATGCCAGGCGAGCTCGCTACCGCTTGAGCCACATCTCCAGCCCCCAAATGGTAGTTTCCTAGGGTAAAAAGGAAGATAAAAACTAGTGGAGAGCTGGGTGCAAAAACACGCACCTGTCATCCTAGCCGCTGGGCAGGCTGAGACAGGAGGATTGCAAGTTCGCAGCCAGCCTCAGCACACGCAAAGCGCTAAGCAACTCAGTGAGACCCTGTCTCTAAATAAAAAATACAAAAGAGGGCTGGGGATGTGCCTCAGTGGTTGAATTCCCCTGAGTTCAATCCCTGGTACAAAAAAAAAAAAGAAAAGAAAAGAAAAAATAAACTAAGGGAGGGCTATGGAGGTGGCTCAGTAGTCGAGTGCCTGCTTAGTATGCACAGGGCCCTGGGTTTAGTTCACAGCGCTACAAAATCTAAAAAATAAAAGCCTAACAAGAGATTATTTATGACACTAAGTTCTCACATGCTCCCACTAAGAAAGCAAGGGATCAGGGGGCTGGGATGTGGCTCAAGCTGTAGCGCGCTCGCCTGGCATGCGTGCGGCCCGGGTTCCATCCTCAGCACCACATACAAACAAAGATGTTGTGTCTGCCAAAAACTAAAAAATAAATATTAAAAAAAAAAAATTTAAGGGCTGGGGATGTGGCTCAAGCGGTAGTACACTTGCCTGGCATGCGTGCGGCCTGGGTTCGATCCTCAGCACCACATACAAACAAAGATGTTGTGTCTGCCGAAAACTAAAAAATAAAATATTAAAATTCTCTCTTTCCCTTTCTCTCTCTCTCTTTAAAAAAAATTAAAAAAAAAAGAAAAGAAAATTTTAAAAAAAAGAAAGCAAGGGATCATATTAGCCAATTTAGACTTTCATAAATATGTTAAGTTACTATAAAAGACTGAATAATCTTTAGAAAATGCCTTCTAGAATCCATTAAAAAAAAAAAACATAGTGGGGCTAGGATAGAGCGCTTGCCTAGCATGTGTGAGGCACTGGGTTCCATCCTCAGCATCACATGAAATACAAATAAATAAAAAATAAAGGTTAAATTCTTAAAAAAAAAAATCCATTGAAGACTGTGAGTTTAAAATTCCTCTAAACAAGGACGTGGTTACAGTCAATTCTACTGTTTTCACACTTGGAATGCATGTGGCTATATTCTCTTGCCTTTTTTTTTTTTTCTTGCAGGGTTAGGGATTGAAGCAAGGACTCATGAATGCTGGGCAAGAGCTCTCCCACTGAACTGCACCTGCAGCCTTGGCTACACTCACCTTTGTGGCTGTTTACCTTCAAATTGCTTTTGGAGAGATAGAAATTCTGCTTACCTGGACATGAAAGTAGGGTTATTTGTAATTTACTTACCATGTCTCCCAAGTGGTTCATGCCTAGATCATATGAATGCATTCCCATTGAATGCTCCAGATTGTGAAGCGTAACAAACTTGAGATTCTTTTCCCAGATGAGACGACGTGCTGCCTCTTCATTCTAAAATACAAGGAAAGAGAACACAATTATACTGAATCTTGGACAAATAACTGTTCAATAATGAAAATAGCATTTTACAAGTCATTATACTAAATATGGATCTGTCTAGGAGCACAAAAATGAATGAATATATTCAATATAACTGCTAAAATTACTAATTAATCATAATTTTTGTTTTTAATTGCTTTGATGATTATTAATATTATCTTGTGGTATACATTATGAATTTCTCCTTAACATGCTAAAAAGTTTCTTTCTGGAAACTGTTGTTTATTGAAAAGTTTCTTTTATTTTTTATTTATTTAGTTTTGAAAATTTTTTTTAGTTGTAGATGGACACAATATCTTTGTTTTACTTACTTATTTTTTTTTATGTGGTGCTGAGAATCGAACCCAGGGCCTCGTACATGTGAGGCAAGTGCTCTACCACTGAGCCACAGCCTCAGCCTGAAAAGTATCTTTTATAAGATGTTTTTATCCTAAGTGGCAAATATCCTTAACTGGAAACATCCTTCAGTGGTAAACTCACTTAATCATTCATATATATATATATATGATTTAGTTGTTGATGGACCTTTATTTTATTTATTTATATGCAGTGCTAAGAATTGAACCCAGTGCCTCACACATGCTAGGCAAGCATTCTACCACTGAGCCACAAACCCAGCCCATCCCTTAATCTTTATATATCTTTATAAAATATTTGTTTACTCTCATTCTTGAAAATAAATTTAGCTGATTATAAATTTCCAGCTACTTATCTCCAGCTATTTGAAGATATGGCTTCAATGTCTTCTGGTACCTATTATTGCAGATAAAAGGTCATAGTAATAATCATACCTCTGATTTTTGTTTCTGTGGGTTTTTTGTTTTTTTGTAGATGGACACAATGTATTTATTTTATTTAATTATTTTTATGTGGTGCTGAGGATCGAACCTAGTGCCTCACATGTGCTAGGCAAGCACTATACCACTGAGGTACAGTCCCAGCCCCAACCTCTATTTTTTTGTTGTTGTTGTTTAAATTTCTATTCATTTTCATTTCTCTTTAATGTATTTTTATAACCTCTGTTGTTAACTCTGGTAGTTTTTGTGATTTTTCTTTCTCCTGGGTCTGGTTGTGGGCTTCTTTGTTTACCTTCTGCTGGGTATTCTTGATTGGATGACTTGGGACTTTTTATCATATCAGGAAATCCTCAACCAATATCTTTTCATATGTTTTTTTTCTCCAACATTCCATTTAGTTCTTGTCTTCAAAATCACCTCTCAAATGTATTTTGGAGCCTCAAAATCTCTTTCATCTCTCTTCCTTGCATTTTCATAGAATTTTCTTTTTATTTCTGTGAGCTGTTTCTGGGTGAATGCCTCAGTATTGTCTTTCAGATTATTATTTTTTAAAATATTTATTTTTGGTTTTAGGTGGACACAATATCTTTATTTTATTTTTTTAATGCGGTGCTGAGAATCAAACCCAGTGCCTCACGCCTGCTAGGCAAGCGCACTACCACTTGAGCCCCAAGTGGGGCTTTCAGATTATTGACTCTTTCAGATTATTGACTCTATCCAACTGTTTCCATTCTGGAATTTATTCCTTTGATTGAATTTTCATTGAAATAACTTTTATTTTCCATTTCTAAGACTTCTCTTTTAGTTCATGATTTAATGTTCCATAGTGTGGTTGTTTTTTTTCTTTTACATATAGTTTTAAAAAGTCACAGAGTTTTGGTTCTATTATTTAAATTTCTGTTTTTGTTGATAGTGCTAGGGATTGAACCCAGGGCTTCGTGCATGTTAGGCTAGTACCCTACCACTGTTCTATTATTTGAATTTCATCCAGAGTGAATTGATTAAGCTGACTGTTGGTTTACTTGTCCTCCAGGAGATTCATTTACATAGAATAAAATATAACATACAATGTACTTCCTAGAATAACTAACAACCAAAGCCAGAATAAGCCTTAGGTCTAGTAATCAGTCAACAACACCTGTTCTGCCTCATTTTATTGAGTAGGGTAAGCCCCAGGGCAGAACCTGATTTTAGGCAGCAAGTCTATGCAACCCCCTCTCATTGGGAACATGTTTTTTGTTGTTTCCTTCCTCTTTCCCTTCCTTTCATCTTTTCTTCCTTCCTTCTTTCTTCCTTTCTTTTTGGTGTCTAGGATTGAGCCCAGGCACTTTACCACTGGGCTACATCCCCAGTCCTTTTTATTTTTGATTTTTAGACAGTGTCTCGCTAAATTGCTCAGAGCCTCACTAAATTGCTGAAGTTGGCCTCAAACTTGCAGTCCTCCTGCCTCAGCCTCCTGAGCTGCTGGGATTACAGGTATCCACAACCACACCCAGCTTAAATCACTTTTAGATTATTTATAATGCCTCATAAAGGAGCTGGGGTTGTGGCTCAGAGGTAGAGCACTTGCCTAGTACGTGCGAGGCCCTGGGTTCGACCCTCAGTACCACATAAAAATAAATACATAAAATAAAGGTATTGTGTCCAACTACAAGTAAAAAACAAATATTAAAAAAATGTAAATGCTACATAAATAACAGTTTTACTGTGTTATTCTGAGAATGATGATAAGGGGGGAATATTTGTACATATTCGTGTTGGAATTTTAAAAAGAGACCACCCTGGTTTGGGGAAAATAAAATAAAAATAAACAAGTGTCCATTCATTCATGGCCTCATGGGGCCTGGAAAGTTTGAGGAAAAGAAAACAACAATAAACAAGTATCCAAAATCTCCCTGTGGCTACCATGCTCTGCTCCTTCCAATCCACAACAAATCATTGCTTATGTTCAACCATCTTTGGAAACTACTACAAGATTTGCAAGGTTTAAAACTAAAAGAAAAAAGAAAAGAACAACTCTCGAGAAAAATTATAAACTGCAACATCACGCTCTAAGGAAATAATCTTATAAAAGAATGGTTACAACAGTTTTCCTTACTTTTTAACTTCTGCTGGATTTCTAATTTTCCTAGCCTTGTATTTAAATGTGAATTACAGCCCCTATATGATTTAATAGGATTGTAAAAAACCGTTTTATACAAAAGAAGAAAAAAAGTGTTTTTTTAAAGTCCACGCTGTTTGGCTGGCTATCTTATCTGTTTTTAGCTAGCGTTCTTAGCCAGCTCCTTCCCCTCCCTAATGCTGCATCACATATAGAAATAAAAAAATTTTTTTAAAAAGCAGAAAAACTGCAATCTGTATACGGGGTAAAAATGGGAGTTCATAACCCACTTGAATCAAATGTATGAAATATGATATGTCAAGAACTATGTAATGTTTTGAACAACCAATAATAAAAATTTTAAAAAAAGCAGAAAAATTTCAAATGTGCAAGTTTTCTTTTTTCAAAAAAAAAAGTTGTTTTTTGTTTTTTTTTAAGAATTTCACAGGCTTCCAAATGATTCTGGTCTGAGTTAAAGGTATGCTCTGACCTGATTAAAAAAAGTTGATATTACTACAATGTAAGTTTTTAAATATTCTATGTAAGCTGATGGGGTTTTTCTGATTAGTCTTGTTTTTTCTAACTATAAAAGTTTTTACATTCTGTCTTTATGCAAAGGCCAATTTCTCTGGTGTTAACTCTTAAATACATTCAAAGGATTTCTTTTAATAAATCTTAGGAAGATATAAACATGGTTATGTTGGAAATGAGTCTGATAACCATCAGGGACAAAAATTCGAGCTATATGAACCATTGATTTCAATGTCCATCATGGTTATTGGATTTTATACCTGACATTTCCAATTACACAGGCCTGTCTTATTTCTATATATTATATACTTGGTATTGAATTGACACTTAGACAAATGAGTACTCACCTATTAAATTTAAAGAATTAAATGGATCCAGATAACTTAATTCAAATCAAATAATTAAATAAATATATAGATGTATTTAAGGTTATGTATGGCTCATGGGTTTTTCTAGGTGGCCAAATAATAAAATCTTAATTTCTAAAAAATATCTGAGATATAATGTAATATCCATTACTTCAAAAACTTTTCTTCAACAGAAAAAGGATGATTAATATGATTAATCATGTTTTTCTTGTGTTTTTACATTACAATTAAAATGAGTAAATTAAATTTAACATAAATGGGATTAGTCTTCATAAATATGGTTTCTTAAATAAATTAATTAAAAATTATAGTTGGTGCCAAGCTGATCTCTCCTTTTGTTTCCAGTTGTTAAAGAAACAGGATGCTGCCTCCTTCCTTTATTTGACTCCTTCTTTATAACAGGCTTTACAGAGAATTAATGAAAAGTTATCGACAGTGATGGTGGATTGACTTCCTGTATCATTATCATTATCATTGATAGTTCTTGTTGGAAAGCCTTATGCTTTTGCAGGAGTATTTGCTATTCTTAATAAGAAGTTATATATAATAAAATGGTTATATTTTTTCTCATTTTTCAGATATTTTGTCTGAAAATATTTTATCTGTAATATTTTATCTTTTTTTTTTTTAGTTGTAGGTGGACACAATATCTTTATTTTACATTTATGTGGCGCTGAGGATCGAACCCAGTGCTTCATGCATGCTAGGCGAGCATGCTACCACTGAGCCACAACCACAGCCCTTGTCTTTTTTTGTTGTTGTTGTTTTAATATTTGTTTTAGTTGTAGGTGGACATAATAACCTTTATTTTATTTTTATGTGGTGCCGAGTATTGAACCCAGTGCTTCATGTGTGCTAGATGAGAGCTCTACCACTGAGCCACAACCCCAGCCCCAATATTTTGTCTTTTACTGATATGTATGCTCAATTAATTGCTGATGATTATACTAAAATTTTATCCTTAACAGGCATGGATATTCATGTTTTATACCTTGCTTATGAAAAAAAACTTTATATATCTCTAATAATTACAGTTCATACTATTATCAAGTTATATTAACAGATTTTTTAGCACCTGTTGATTTTCACATGCTTCATAATGGACAATTCTCTCTGCTATATCAGGTTCCTTAATTATATCCCTTTTCCTTAATTTCTACTGTTCCACTTGTACATGAAATAATGGTGTATACAGATGGAAGTAAACAAAAGAGGAATAAAGTCTGTTTTTATTAATGGAGAATGGGCTGACTATTATACCCTACCTCAAATTTCTCCACAGTGAGCTGAGTTAGCTACCATTATCCTGATGTTAAAACTGTTTTCTACTATTTTAAATGTTATTACAAATTCTCAATGTATAGCTAAGCTTGTGCCTCATATTTCCATGGCTGTGTTATGCCCTCATTTGGTTTCCAATTTACTGTCTCTAAAACCCTTTAAACTCTTTTACAGCATCGTATGTCTCCCATCTTCCTTGCTTATGTACACAGCCACACCAAGATTTCTAGACCTTTGATGGAGAGTGACGCTTACACAGATGAAGCTATAAAATCCCTTTATCCTTTGTTTTCAGGTGCTGTGAGATCCCATGGATTTTTTTTCATCAAAATGTTCGATCACTAATAAAAATGTTTTCCATCTCTTCTCAACAGGCTCATGCTATAGTTAACAATTGTTCTGACTGTGTACTCTTATGGGCCCCTATGTAAAAAATTATGAATCCACAGAGCCTCCATTCTAATGCACTTTGGCAAATAGATGTTACTCATTTTCCTCCTTACTCCTTTCTTCATGTTTTTATTAATCCCCATTCTGGGTTTATTTGAGCTAGGTATCTGCTTATATTTCTCATTTATTTCTTTGTTTTGCCACCAGGGGCAAGCCTATTCATTTAAAGATGGATAATGCCCCTGCATATACATCTTTTGCTTTTGCACAATTTTGTAATCAATGTAATATAATTTTAAATCATAAAATTCCTCATAATCCTACTGGACAAACTTTGGTTAAATGAGCACATTGTACTCTTAAAACTTGCCTTTTAAAACTAAAACGAAAAAGGGGTAATCTAGCATCTCTCATATTAATAATGCTTTAAATATTATTTTATTTACAGTTAATATGCTCAATATGCAATGCAAAGTTAACACTCACAATTAGTTGTCTGCTTTGGATAGACATTTTATTCCCAAACAGCCATTACTAAAAATTTATGTAAAATATAGGGTTCCAGACCCAGGATGACAAGACCTATGCCTCTGATCACATGGGGAAAAGGATAGACTGCTGTGCTTACACCAACAGGTCCTGCTTGGACTCCAGCTCCATGTATGAGATCTATTGATTGTGAATGGACAGCAGGAACTTCACAACCCGATTCCCAAGTTTCGTTTGATCCTGGATGAGGAGAGTCCCACCAAACAAAAGGACAATTATTACTCTCCTCGATAGAGAAGAAACATTAAAGGAGGACAGATACGGAACACAAAAGAGAATCCCAAGCTGCTAGACTTTCACTGACTTGGGGGGATATAAAATCATTAACAGCCTCAGCTCAACAGCTGTTGGCTCAAAGGGGGTTAAAATGTGCTCTGGAAAACTTAGTTACTGCTTTGTTTGCTAAACTCACACAAAACTCTGTAAATGTTTTGATCCTTATTATAATATTTTTCTGCTGTTGTACCCCAGCTGTGGGAAATTTAGTACAGTCAGACTTCTGGACTTCTAGAACCTATTATAATATCTGGGTTGCTTGGCTAAAATTGTTATATACCTGCAAGAATGTCATATGGTACTCATTGTTGTCTCAACAAATTAACTGTGTTCTCACCATCCTCGCAGGATTTAATGGGCCACCATCCTGCACAACATATTCATAAGAGTTCTATTCCCCTTGATGAGAACTGTGATGATTCCATACATCTTCTCTCTAAGGCAGAATTTGATGCTTTGGCATTTTCCTTAGTGGGTATCCCTGGACTAACTGTCGGGACTTATAAAACCACTATGAAGCTGGCCTGTGCTGTGGTAAAAAGTATTAATCCTACTTCTCTGGCCATGAATATGCTTAATGAGAACAAATACAGCACTGTCCAGCCATTCTTGACAATCAAGCTGCTATTGATTATCTGTTGTTGTTATATCATAAAGGATGTCAGGAGTCTAATAATATGTGTTGCTTTAATTTGAGTGATAACAGTTAATTCCATTTCAAAGGAGCTAGACCACCTTAGGGACATTGTTAATAAGGTCCGACAAGATGATGGAGGTTTAGACTTGTAGGATTGGCTAATTTCACCTGCCCAATTTCACCTGGGTCAAATAATTATTCATAGGTGGATGTCTATTGCTATTGGAATTGTTGTGCTGCACTTGCTGTTATCAATGCCTTTGCTATTTTTTTGCCCCCACCAGCATTAAGAAGGAAACCGACATTATTCATCCAAAAAGCCTTAAAAAACAAAAGAGGGGAGCTGTAGGAATTCTGTGTTTGGGATTGGGATCTACAAACTTCATCCCTGTTTCATGCTTGGTGACTAGGAAGTTTCTGTGCAAAGACACAGATGCCTGGCTGCTAGGTAAAACCTGGTGACTGGGAAGCTCCTTGCAAAGGCACAGGACGCCTGGCTGCCACAGCACTGTCCTTCACAGGTTTACCCCGCTTCCCAGACCTGGGGTGTCCCGCTCCTCCCTCTGAGCTAGTAAGAAAACTCGGCTGGTGCACTACCTGGTTTCCATAGTGACATACTTTGAAGGAGAGAGGCTCTGTGTTTGTGTTAACCTGGACCTTCTCAACCAGCTAGCACTCAGGGTTAAAGGAATACACCGGTTACAGTGTAGTCATTTTTTGGGTTATTAAAGAGGACAGTAGAGAGGAGTAGACACCCTTTTGTTTACCATCCTTCTGTCTGTCTGCAGCTTCCCTGTGTGTCTGTGTCTGCCCTTTATGTGTCTCCTTCACAGATCTCCCCGCACAGGAGTTCCTTTTCATAAATGAATAAATAAGAAGAGAACTTAGAGGGCTTGGGCTGTGGCTCAGAGGTAGAGCACTTGCCTAGCACGTGTGAGGCCTTGGGTTCATTCCTCAGCACCACCTAAAAATAAATAAAATAAAGGTATTGTGTCCAACTACAACTAAAAACCAAAATATTTTTTTTAAAAGAGAGAACTTAGAATGCATGACTTACTAAGCATATCATTTTTATACAAAGCAATACATCAAATAAACATTATCCTAACTTAGAAGTGTTACATAGTTATAGGACTTAGTTATTCTAAACAATGCAGCTAAAATTTTAAAAACAATCAACAAATATACTTTGAAATATAAACAAAAAGTACAAAGTGGGAAGTGAGAGTTAGGAAACAACAGTTATTAGCAATTCTAAGTTCCAGGAATGGGGTAATTGCAGTTTTTACGACTTTTTGTTCCTCAAATGTACCAAATGTGCTCCTTCCTTAGAGCTTTGCATTCATTTTCCATTGACTTGAAACCTTTACTACATTACCTATTTTGCTTGCTCCCTGACTTCTATCAATTCTCTGCTCAAATATCACATTATTTATGAGGACTTCCCTCACCATCCTAACACACACAGACCCCTCAGTGCAGCCACCACCCAGGGCCCTTCCAATCCCTCATGCCTTGCTTTATTTTTCTCTATTGCACTTCTCACCATCTAGCATACCATACATCTGCTTATTTATTTACTTATTTCTCATCTCTCCCACTATAAAATAAACTCCATAATAACTGGAAGTTCATTTTGTCTCCTGCTGTATACTACCCAAAAGAGCATTAGGCAAGAAGTAATTGCATAATATTTGTGGAAAACACAGTTTGTAAAGAATATAATTTCAAAAGGAAGCATTTTGCTCCAGTAAGAACCCCATCTACCTTTTGTCTGTATTGTTTGCCATAGGTTTTCTTCCAGAGCTGCCAGTGGTGATCCAGGGCAGGGTCTTTATGCAGCTGTGCCATTGCAGAGAAGCACACCAAGGACACATAAAGCAGCCACTTCATTCTGTTTAAGGGAAGCCTCACTGTTAGCTACATATGTTGTGACCATGTATTTTCAAAACAGAAAGTAGCAATGCAGAGTCTACCAAAGGAACACACTCCTACAAATCAGAATTCTACAGGCAACTTCCTGAAGTACACAGTCAGGAGGAATATGTGTAGAATTATGTCTAAAATATTATTTCCAATACTTAGCAGCACTTTAAGAAATGATTTTCAGAAATTCCTCAGTATCTGGTAAACCAAACACACTTAGGGGTTAAAAAGACGGGACTTTTTAGGATTTGCCAATACATCTAATCTAATTTTCTAAGGGAAAATTTCCTCTTACTTTCCAAAACAGAAAATCATGCTAAAGAGGAGGATAAGGGCTGGGTGCGATGGCACACACCTGTAATCCCAGCAGCTTGGGAGGCTGAGGCAGGAGGATCACAAGTTCAAAGCCAGGCTCAGCAACCCCGTGAGGCCCTAAGCAATTCAGCAAGACCCTGTCTAAATAAAATATAAAGGGCTGAAGATGTGGGCTCTTTTAAGCACCCCTGGGTTCAATTCCCTGAACCCAAAACAAAAGAACCAAATCAAACCTAAACAAAACCAAAAGAAGAGCTGAGGGTTCTGTGTGTAGCTCAGTGGTGGAGTGCCTGCCTAGCTGCCTAGCATGTGCAAGGCCCTGGTTTGATTCCCAGCACCAGAAAGCGGGGTGGGGGAAACCCTTACAAAAAATCAATTCATCTTCTGAATTTTTGAATACCTGAGCTCATCTTAACTTCTATTTAAATATCCACAATCCAGGGCTGGGGATGTGGCTCAAGCGGTAGTGCGCTCGCCTGGCATGCGTGCAGCCCAGGTTCGATCCTCAGCACCACATACAAAAACTAAAAAATAAATATTAAAATTCTCTCTCTCTTTAAAAAAAAATTAAAAAAATAAAATATCCACAATCCAATGTGTATATGTATCAAAACATCAGATGATACCCCATTAATACGTACAAATTGTATGGTTTGTTTTTTTAATATTTATTTTTTAGGAATAGATGGACACAACACAATGCCTTTATTTTTATGTGGTGCTGAGGATCGAACCGGGATTCTGCCCGTGCTAGGCGATCTCTCTACTGCTGAGCCACAATCCCAGCCCAAAATTGTATGTTTTTATGTAACAGTTAAAAATGCATTTAATTAAAAAATAAGTCAGGTGCAGTGGTCAGGCAGGAGGATTGTGAGTTCAAAGCCAACCTCAGCAATTTAATGAGACCCTGTCTCTCAAGAAAATATTAAAAAGTCTGGGCGTGGCTGGGTGTGGTGGTGCACGCCTGTAATCCCAGCAGTTTGTGAGACTGAGGCAGGAGGATGGAGAGTTCAAAGCCAGCCTCAGCAATAGCGATGCGCTAAGCAACTCAGTGAGACCCTGTCTCTAAATAAAATACAAAATAGGGCTGAGAATGTGGCTCAGTGGCCAAGTGCACCTGAGTTCAATCCCCTGCCCCCAAAAAGGCTGAGAATGTGGCTCAGTGATTGAGCACCCCTAGGTTCAATCCCCAGTAGCTAAATAAATAAATAAACAAAATGCCCCAAACTTTTGAAGATAGTTAAAAGGTAACTGCCGTCTATTGGTTTCAAATCCTCAGGGCATTTTCCTTTTTTAACTTTTTCAACAATCAAATATATATTTCAAAGAAAGTAATTATGTACTCTTTAAAACACCATTACTATATTTAATTCAAAGAACTTCAACAGAAGTTCAGTGACTAATTGCCTCAATCTGGATTCTACTTTCTTTCTCATTTCTTTTTTAATTCAAAACAGTTGGAATTTTAAACACATGAACCTTCAAATATATCCCAGAGAAAGCTAGGGTTTAGCCTCAAGCTTAGATGTTCAAGCAAATATTAACTTTTCAAAAATAGATTCTTTTAAATCAGAAAGACCAGAGACTGAGAAACATGTTTTTGGTCTACTTCCTGAAACCAAAGATTTAAAATCTGGCAGGTAGAGCAAGCTAAAATCATAAATGAGAGTGTTCAAAGACCAAATGGGGGGAAAAGAACAGACTACATACGTGATAGAATCAGCAGGTGTTCCCATAGAAAAAATTCCTGAATTGATGTGATCGCTTCCAAGATTTCAGAGTAGCAAGGAGACTTTAGTTAACTGACTTTAAAAAGAAATTGGAACTTGTCACATGAGGTATCCACAATGAGGAAGTAAACTTTGATTTCAGTTTCATTTAAAATATTGTAAGATCAACTACCTCTACCCTGCTCCCTATTGTCTTAGGGACAGAGTGGGACAGAAAGCCATCAAGAAGAGCTCCCAAATAGAAGAGATCAATAAAACAAACTCAGTAAAGTAAGAAAAGCAGTACAAATTTACCCTTTAATTTTGTTTATGTCAACTCTTCCTCATGAAATTTTGAGTCAGTTATCAATTTCCCTGGAAAATTCTGTCAAGTTACATGTTTGGGGAGTCTGAACATAATTACTGAAAGGAAAGTGACCACAACAGACAGAGATCTGTACTGCAGCAGTGAGAAAGAGGAGAAAAGACAAAGAACGTGGGAAAGAGAGAAGAACGAGAAGAGAAGAAGGAGAGAGGGAGAGAGAGAGAGAGAGAGAGAGAGAGAGAGAGAAGAGCGGAGAGCAGAGAGAGAGAGAGAGAGAGAGAGAGAGAGAAGAGCGGAGAGCAAAGTGCAAGAGAGAGAGAGGGTGAGACAGAGGGTGAGAGAGAGGGAGGGAGGGCAAAGCAAGAGAGAGCCAGAGTAAGACAGGGGGGCCAGGCAGGACAGTTTTTATAGTCAAAATCTAACGAGGTCTCTGGGTCTGCAGGCTGCCTTGTTGGCGTTCAGTTGCTAAGGGTGTCACCTTCTGCCTTCATGCAGACTGGGCGGGGCCAGATGTGGGTTTCCATTGCACCCTTGAGTGGGGCTGAGGGTTCAGCCTTGAGGCAAATAATCCATAAGGAACCAGATGGGTGAGGGTCAAGTGTCCAGGCTACCCTGCTGCTACCATTTGTTCAGTCTGCTCCTCAACTAACAATACAATGTTGGATTTTCTCATTTGTAGTAGACATTTTCATGTTTGTGGCCATCTAGATTTTTCTTTTAAAGACATTTTATTATGGAAAAATGTAAGCATATGTAAAAGTAGAGATAATAGCATAATGAACCTCAATGAAACCATTATTTTATTTCAACAATTATAAATAAATGACCAATCTTTACTTATACTCTCACTTTTTAAATTTTTATTTATTTATACTCTCATTTATTTATTCAGATTATTTTGAAATAAATCCTAGACACCATATCATTTCATATGTGAATGTTCTTGAATGCATCTCTAAAGGTTGACTTTCTTTTTATAAGAACCTCAAACATGATAGGTATGTGCTCTATAACTGAGCTATATCCCAGAGCCTCTAAAAGATAAAGACTATCAATTTTTTTAAAAGAGAGAGAGAGAGAGAGAGAGAATTTTTAGTATTTATTTATTTATTTATTTTTCCGGTGGACACAACATCTTTGTTTGTATGTGGTGCTGAGGATCGAACCCAGCGGAATGTATGCATGCTACCCCTTGAGCCACATCCCCAGCTCAAGACCATTAAATTTAATCACAATAGTGTTATCAGATCTAAAACAGATGACAACAAATTCTTTTCTTCCTCTCTCTCCCCCCCTCCCCTCCCCCCTCTTTCTTTCTTTCTTTGTTTCAGAACTGGGGACTGAACCCAGGGCAGCTAGCCACTGAGCTACATTCCCAGCCCATTTTATTTTTTAATTTGAGATAGGTTCTCACTAAGTTACACAGGGCCTTGCTAAATTGCTGAAACTGGTTTGGAATTTATGATCTTCCTGCCTCCACCTCTCAAATTGATTGGCTTACAGATGTGAGCCACAACACCCAGCTATCTCTCTTTTGAAACGTGGTAAAAATTTCAGTTCTCTAAAATACCAACAAAACACCCAATTTATCCTATATTTCAGAATAACAACAAACCTGCCACCAATAAGATTATTACTGAGAACAATTTTCAGATTCTAATGGAGACATATTTAACCTCACTTAGGCCATATCCTATTAAGGACGTAAGTCAATAATTATGCTTTAAAGTCACTCAGAATCGTTTATTGTACATTTATGCCACACCTCTATACACAGGTTTATTTGTTTCCTTTTTATTTCTGATTTTTAGGGATTCTTTTACATGTTTGTAACTTTATTTTATTATTTTATTTTTAATTTTTTGGTTCCAGGGGCGCTCAACAACTGAGCTATATCCCCAGGCTTTTTTATTGTTTTATTTTAAGACAGGTTCCTGTGAGTTGCTTAGAGCCTTGATAAATTGCTGAGGCTGGTCTCGAACTTGCGATCCTCCTGCTTTAGGCTCCCTAGCCGCTGGGATTACAAGGCATGCACCACTGTGCCAAGTAGTAACTTTATTTTATAATTATGTGAAATATTTATTTAGATCTTAATAAAAATCAGCAAAATAAGGTATTTTCAAAGAAGTCTTGCCTGTATTTCCATCCTCTCTTCACTTTTCCCTTTCTCCTTTGATAACCATTTAAAATTCTTCCTTCCACTTAAAAAATGTGTGTGTGTGTGTGTGTGTATATATATATATATATATTCCTCCTTTCTTAAATGAATAATAACATATTACACACATACTTTTTTCTTTTTTTTTCCACTTAACATTATGTTAAGAAAAATTAGGGGCTGAGGCTAGGGCTCAGTGGTAGGGCACCCACCATGTACGTGTGAGGCCCTGGGTTCGATCCTCAGCACCACATAAAAATAAATAAAGATATTTTTTTTTAAAGTTATTCAGTACTTAGAAATAGGCATAACAGATTATTAGGTATCCTTTTAGGGGAGTGCTGGGAGTTGTTCAGTGCACACTTGGGGGAGTCGTTTGATTCTATTCAACTCCAATAGGGTAGAATTAAATTGTAAAACACTGCAACTAGGCACATGATTCCTGTTTATAGCAATGCAAACAATTTTGTCTAGTAGATTTTACTGAGAATGTAAATCACTAAAATTCTTGTTTAAACCAGTTTCAATCTCTCACTGACTCCTTATTAATTAATAAGTTGAATAAAATCTTTGACATGCTCATTGTATATTTATACAAGAGTAATGTTCTCAACTTTTTGGAAACTATTTAGCAATGAAACCTTGAGATAACATAT